CCAGTGGTCTCGGCGACAGAGACAGGCGGAGACGGGTTGGCTTGTTCGCCCTCGCCAAGTGGCTTGGGGACCTGGTTCGGGATGCTCATGAGAATGTTGTTCACGGCATCAGGGTTTTTGTGAATGTGGACCGTGTGCTTGAGCTTGTCCTTGACCTTGAAGTCACAGGGAATGAGACGGTAGGGGAGCTCCTGGTCGCGATGGTACTCGTAGAGCCGGACTTTGTAGCCACGGATGAGGATGGCCCAGCATCGTTCATCTGGAAGAGGGGCACTGAGAAGTCGGGGAACGAACTGATCCCAGTCTGCCTGGACTGAAACAGAGGTGTCGAGGACGACCTTCACGATGGTGTGCAGGGATCTTTCATCGCCAGAGGCTTTCACGACGAAGCAGTTGGAGTGGTTATTCTCCTCGTCCTCTTGCCACTTGAGGACCCAGCCATCGTTCGAATCGAAGGCGTAAGTAAGGAGAGCGCTGACCATGATCTTGACATTCTCAGCGGTTGGGTTAGCCTCGTAGGCGTTGATGAATTCAGCAATAGCAGGAAGCGAGAGATAGTTTGTGGTCTCCATGATTACGAAGTTGAAAAGCGTTGCTGGTGAGCAGAGATTGATGAACCTGGAGAGGAAGGAAGTCGCAGGAAGGAAGTGGCAAGGACTGAGGTGGAAATGCTTAAGGTCTTGGAATCGCAAGCGAGATCAGGAAACTGCACGTAACGTGAAAGTGGGAAAGTGTGCGTAGAAGAGTGAATTGAGGCAAACATTTATACTTGTAGGGTTAGTTCTACCTACCCTATAAACGCGTGTTTGATCAAAGAAGGCGAATTATCAAAGCAAACATTAGTCTCCCACTTGCTACTGATCTGTATAACTTCATATGTTTCTATATGTACTATTACAAGTAACATAGAACTGTGAGCTAAGTGAAAGGTCGCCGTCTACGTCCATAGATATATATCTAGATCTAGTGTTAGTCTGCCAATGACTCCATATTCTGAGCATTCACCAGGACACAAGCAGACTGAAAAGCAAATGAAAGGAAGCCAAGAGTAAGCCAGGAGGAAATATATACTGAGTAGACAGGATGATGTCTGCTGGGTCCTTCCTATCTGGGCTGTCGTCGCTTCCATGGGCTCGGACTGAGATGACTTCAGGGCTTAGTAAGTTGAATGTCTACTGAGTGCACTCAGGCAAAGTGTGCGCTACAATAGATCTCAATACAACAAATTATTATCTTCTATTGTTCAAAGTCTGCTCATTGACTCATTTTGTCATCTCACCAGGCCAAGCAGAATCGTCTCTGACTACCAGGTTCAAGCTCGGCTCATCCCAAAATAAGTTACATGAGCTTCATTCACATGTCCTCTCTGGGCCTCGTAGCTCTAGACCTCATTTGATCAATACTAGAGAGGAGCAAAGATCATACCTGAGGCCAGACTCAACAGAATCTGCATATCCTCCTCACTAGTCTCTGACTTTGTAGGTACATGGAGTGGCCAAGCCCACCATCAAGCTCTGAGCGACTGATTCTGGCGGGGGATTTCCGACCGAATAAGTTCTCAAGAACTGGTGATCACCAAGGCGTGAGATACCATATGCGGATTGGAGACAATTGCAGGATGTCCTGAAAGTAATCACAGAGCTGCATATACTGCACACTCACATATGTACAGCGACATGATCTATACGATCAGGTCCGAAGGCATCCATGACTGAATGGCGTGCCTAGTACAAATGACACCGTACGTTGGAAGCATGGATGAGATTCCCGTTATGGCTTCCTGCCTGAGAAATCCGCAAGGCGGGATAGTGGCTGACTGGGGCACCGGAAACGAACCGATCGCCTATTATTGCTCGGACTCTTAGCCATCAGGGTGAGACTACTGACATTGCCTTGTTCGTATACGAATCGGAGAATGGCAAGCCCGTGCGACAAAGCGATGTCACGATTGGCAAATACTCGGGAGTCAAGGGCTTAAAATTGAGAATCCTGATCAAGTTGATAGGAGAAGCGACCCGCTCTCGATTTTGGGTGTGTTCTATCGAGTCATGGGCCCCAGGGTAACTGGAAAGCTTGAGGGCCGTTCGTATCGAGCCCTACCCCTGTACCTGGGTTGAGACCAGCAGTTCGCAAGTGATAAAGTACTGGAATCCTGCCCTATACCTCCAGCGACACTGTGACTGGTCAGCGTGCTGAACCCCGACTTTGTATAGTCGGCTGCATCTGCACAGACACTCCTTATCTATCCTCCACGCTCGAAGCGGTTCTAGGCTCTCCCTTGACAACTTAATGGAGCGCTTTACACAGACGGAATCCGTGCCCACTAAGGATAAAACCAAGCTTCGACGGGGTATCGAGCCAATAGCTCTAATCGCCTCTCCCTGGGAACCCGACGCCAAGAACGGTGAGACGAACAACGGGGTCATCGGGTGCAGTCTACTTGGGTATAGTCAACGCCACCGGCCAAGGAACTGTGAGCCCATGTTCCAAGTTGCAAATCATGCCCAGTGTCAACGCCCCGGACACACGGAGACGACCTGAGTGAGAGTTCCAATAATGCAAGTCTCCTGCACCGATACCCTGCTACCGGGATTTGGGCATCTGCACCCAGCTAGCAATGGAAATGGGAAGTCAGCGGGAGCTTCGGGTGCATTACCCGAGATTTGTGCTTGAGAACATTGCGCAATATAAGTATACTACAGCAGCGACACTCGATATTCGGTTATCGAGAAAAAAATATAGTGAATATGCAATCGATCGTGGTGTAACGGTAGCAGTACATATATATTGTGGGAACAGCTGGCGTCCACGGGCGGATGGATCTGCTATGCGCATAATGTGGCTATTATAGGGGATACATTGTACAGAATAATACACACAGCGCACAACAGTAGAGTCGCTCGTATTGTACTGTACGTTGGATGTCGTATATCGCGCCGATCATTTCGTCTGCGGCCCGCACATAGGCAAGGGGCGCATGTCTTTTGCACACTGACCATTCGATTCTCGTGTGGGGAGTGTTGGGTGTTACCGAGTTGGGGCCAATGCGGCTCAGAAGGGAAAACCCCGTGTCACTGATTGCGTGGAAGTATTTTGCTTTTTCCCATGAGGCTGCCTGGCAAACGGCTGGATATTCGATTCTCAAGCCATCGGATGCGTACCAAAGACAGAAAGTATAAAAGGCGGATACCTGCTGTCCCTGTCTTCAACGGGATTACAGTATACTAGTCCAATGTCACGATCAACCCGATCTCTCGCACTATAAAGTGAAACAGTACCGTTATATTAACAGCACGGAATATGCGGCCCGAGGCCCATCGGCGAGCATCAAAGGGCGACGGCTATATTTTCCGCATTTGTAGGTGGAGTCGAGCAATAAGAGCGCCCTAAAAAGCAAACACGAACAAAAACAAGAAACAGACGGTGGGGAAGACGAAGGGAAGATCCTAGCTAATCATAGCCATTTCCAATAATTGCTGGTCGTATACGGAAAAAGAAACAATGCCATGATAGTTACGCAGTAGAGTGATCAAATCCGCAATGATCAGCTTCTTTCCCGTCCTGTCGACACTGTCGATCCGGGAGCAGGGAACCGATCCCAATGGTAGTTGACTCTTTCTTCTTCTGGATAGGATGGAGTCCGGATACGACAATATCGGTGGGAATGCTTCTCTAGCTCCGGGTTGCGACGTCCGCGTATGCACGATGCCGAACAGGAGTTGAATCTGAAGACTCATAATGTGTATTTGTAGAAAAAGAAAGAAGAGAAAAAGAAAGAAGCCATCACGAAAATAAAAAAGAAACAAGGTTGACCAGGATACCGTCGGGCCTGGCATCCGCGCGTCCGGAAGCAGAAACCGACTTCCGCGGACTTGAAAATAAGCTCAAGATTCGATGGTCGCGTTTACCCTCGTATACGAAGACATTCATGGACCCCTGTTGTACATAGATTAGGTTGAAGGGCACGGACAATGGTGGACCAAGCGCGGTGGAGATGGACCTTGGACTGACAGGAGGAAGCGAAGAGAAGGAAAGGAAGGGAAGCAATCTGCGGCGCAGCTGATGTACGGAGTAGTCGAGCGTATCCATAGGAGATCCATCACGAAGGAGAGATTCACCTAGACCCATTAGTCAGTGCTTTATTAGCCTCTCTTGGCTTGCAGGAGATGATCTCAGAGGCGTCCAGGATGACCGCTCTTCTTTATCACTTGTCCTGCCCAGGGATCGCCGATCGGTTGATACGATTGGATGGTGATTTATTGATTACTCTATGTCTGCATGTATTATTTCTGATTCTGATAATTGGGCTAGAGAGAAGTGGTGTATCAGACGGGAAGTATTTCAGAAATGGATTGCTGCAGATGGCTAAGACATCGTTAGGGCAGTTAGGGCAAGCTAAGAAGTTAGGTAAATCATTTAATTGAATAATCAAATGATTTAAAATAGAAATTGAGACGTCCAGAGGTGTGGGCCGATCTCGGATCCCCCGACAGAACCATGGATCGAACAAGGTTATGTGACACTCATCCATGGCTCACAGCCCTAAGTGTCAGTGCGCAGAACGGACTCGACCCATCGACTACACATCGCAAAGGGGCAGACGCAGATGGGCCAATCACAGCCGCCACACCGAAGTGATACGGAGGCTGCCCTATTGCCACACGCTCGCTTTCGCAGCTATTCCTTTTTCCTTGCATTAGCTCCACGCCGATTCGTGCGTTCAGGAGACGTCGGGGTGGAGATATGCCAATCCTCGGGGTTTGGCGTCGGAAATGGGAGATCATGGATAGCCCGTATTGGACTTACTTGGTATATTTATCTCCCCTTGGACCCTGCCCCTGATCGAATGGTCCCGGACTTCTTATCCATCGGCAAGCTGTGTTGACTCTTCTATTAATTGACACCGTGGATTGCTGGGCATTCTGTATATCTGTGCACGTTACCTTGAAAAGCGCAGCCTGACCTGGATTCGACTTCAACCGTACTATCTGATTCTCACCATGGATATGAATCGATATCCAGTTCCCGAAGAGGTCTTGGAGAGAAGACACTCTGATACGTGCATCCCACACCAGCATATGAACATGGTAATAGAACTATTGCAAACCAAGGCACATCAGTGGGCTAACAACCAATAGCCGATCACTCCTAAACAGCCCCATACCGAATATACACACCCACACTTCGCCATGATATACCTCGACCACAACGGTCAATGGCAACTACAAGCCTCGCCCTCAATTGCAGGCTGCGAAGGCGCCATCTTCACTCAAGATGTTACAGACCGATTCATAGAAATGACTGGCCAGACGCCCCAAACCAGTCCGCAGTTCCCAAGTGAGTCAGATTCCATCCAAGTTCCAGAACGACGCTGACATCCTCTCCTTGCAGACCCGACCCAAGCACCCCACTCCCCTTGGGACGAGCAACCTGCTTCGGGATGGGCCCCGCCTCAGGCGCGACAGGCCGAGATGATCCCGTTCCAATGGTCATCACAGCAAAGCCGAAAAAAGTCGAGGCGTGCCGGCGGTACGCCCAAGTCTCGACCGAAATCTACCTCGCCGCCGCCTGTCGCTCCGGCTCCCGGGCGGACGGTCCTTCGTGTCGGGAACCGGGCGCTGCTGCGACGGTACTATGAGAAGGCATTTGAGGATTTCCAGCAGCTCAACTGCCGGGCGATTGCGAAATCCTATATTAAGCTTGTCGAGCCGAGGAAGCAGGTCCACTACCCGTATAACGGGCGCAGGGTGATTGCCGGTGTCTCGCAGCGTGTTGACCCGGAGTTCACGAAGCCTGCGTGGTGGCCTGCTGGTGTCTTGCACAAAGAGCCTGATCATCTGCTCAAACCTGGTGAGCATATCCTAGTATCACGATATGAACCAGATTAATACTGACTGACCATAGATCGTCTGCGACTTCTGGTTCATATCCTCTGTGAACTAAAGGATAGCCACGGAGTCACAACGGATAAGCTGCGAGAAGCTGGCCAAGACGTCAGACGGCAGATCACACCTGCCCACCGGCTGCAGGTTCTCGACGAGATCTACTTTGTGCGCCAAATGGAAGAACAATATCTGGATGGTGAAATCGGTATGTATCCCTATCCCGGCAAGATTCAATCTACAGTTCACTGACATGTACTATAGACGCCAGCACCTTGATTCAGATAACACAGACACATCTACCCGAAGCAATCTTCCCAGACGATGACCTATCATCTCGTGCACACGCAGCACCCGTAACAGCCCCTTCCATCGAGGCCGAACATAACATGCACGACGCCCGCGACAACCCTGTTATCTCCACGCTGGAAGACGATGACCCAAAGCTGCACCACTCGCATAGTCTGCCCCTATCACCCACTACTAGCGAGTCCAGTGGTCCACACAGCCCAACTGGCAGTTTCGGCTACCCAATAGCCATAGCACCCTCCGTGCATGTAATACCCCCTCTCGAGTCCCCCAATGTCACAAAGTCTATACATCCAGACCCGAGTTATCTGTCGGGGTACTACTCGCAGCAATTCGTGTCTGATAAAGCGCCTGGGTTTTGGCCACATGCCAATACTGCCTCGCAGTATGGCTATTGATGTTCTGTTTCTCTTGTTTTCCAGTACATAACTGGAGTTTGAGCGTTTGGCTGGACACGGATCTTGGGTTTCATTGGTTACTTTTCCATATATATATTTTCTTAGGATGGTTTGTTAATTAGCTTCCATATACGAGAAGTCAGGGAGAATGCAAATTAATGGACAACCTGATCTCTCGTAGAGTCGACCTTATGAATTAGCTGCCTCAGGAGTCAGGCGACACCTGGGCCAAGACGGCTCGCTGATTGGGTCCGCGTGACGATCCCCTAGCGCAGCTCCTCCATCCAACCACCACTCACATCGCCAGCACACGTCAATTCCTCACCTTCTCGCTGGCTCTTGACTGTGTGTTTCTCCAACCTTTTGGCCTGCACCAAAGCATCAGAAGCCCTACATCGCCGTTTCCGTGCCATGCGCCAGTAAGCCCGCAGTTGTTTACTTCTTGGATCGCCAACCACAGTCCGCCATCCGCGCCCTCCGACTCCAACACACGCGTGATCTACCGATAAGGTAACTTTGCCGTCTCTTTGGATGATTACCCCTCATATCTATATAATGGCCGTGTCGTTCGGCACTTGTGTCTGTTTGGCACATCTAAAAAGTGCTTTTGAAGCTTGCAACTATGGGGATGCTAACTTTCAATCGGTTCCTCAGTCGACCGTATCCCAACACCCGGGACGGACCGACAATACTCTGCTTCCAGCAACAGTTTCTAATGGAAAGCACCGGCTCGAGGAGAAAATCCGATACCATGTCGGCCGAGCCTCCGGTCTCCACGCCAGTCGTGGAGGATGTGTCTTCAGATGACTCCGACAACGATGAATCCGACTCTCCTGCCATAACCCCAGGAACCCTGTCGCGCAACGGCTCCTTCTCAAACAGCAGCTCGTACCTAGAAGACTGGGAGTCATTTCCACCGCTGGACAAGCTGACTATTTTCGACCTCCTCGACAACATCCACCTCTCACAGCGTCTGGAGACTTGGCAGCAGACCCTCGCCGCGCAAAGGGAGAAGGTGCGCAAGCAGCGGGAGAAGCTGAGGTTGTCGTCCTTGAATGCCAAGGACCGTGTTATGGGTGAATGGAAGCGCCATGCACCGACCGCCGAGGAGAAGCTGGAGAAATATCGTGCTCGGATGAAGCATGGCGTTGAGCGTCTCGGCAAGCGGTGGAGCCAGACGGCGACTGTCACCCTCCGGGAGAAGATGTCGTTTATTGCTGGTGTGCTCAATATCTTCATCAGCGGCTACCTGATCGGTGCTTGCCCGGAGTACTTTTACTACTGGTTTAGCGGCCAGCTGGCTTTTTTCATGCCCATCCGCTACTTTACATACCATGCTAAAGGCTACCACTACTTCTTGGCCGATCTCTGCTACTTTGTCAATTTGCTCTGCATGCTGAGTATTTGGGTCTTCCCGAACTCGAAACGGCTTTTCATTAGCACGTTCTGCTTGACTTTCGGAAACAATGCGGTTGCAATCGCCATGTGGCGGAACTCGATGGTGTTCCACAGTATGGACAAGGTCGTCAGGTACGTTACACATCAAAAGGAACAAGTTCATCGCTCATCTTATCTAGTCTCTTCATCCATATTATGCCACCCGTGACTCTGCACTGCATCGTACACCTGACTCCGGTTGCGATACTCAAGGAACGCTTCCCTGCTGTCTACGACATCAAGTTCAGTAAGCCCGGGGACCCAGAGCATTATGGTCTTGGTGCCATGATCCTCTGGTCCACGGCCCCCTATGTGGTGTGGCAGCTCATGTACCACTTCCTGATTACCGTGCGCCGCCGCGACCAAATCGCAGCGGGTCGTCCGACCAGCTTCACCTGGCTGCGCAAGTCATACTCCAAAGCGTGGATTGGGCGGTTTGTGCTGAGTCTACCCGAGACGCTGCAAGAGCCATGCTTTATGGTGATCCAGTACGCGTACGCTTTGTCCACCATGCTCCCCTGTCCGATCTGGTTCTGGTACAAATGGGCCAGCGGTCTGTTCATGTCTGCGCTATTCGTCTGGAGCATCCACAATGGAGCGACCTACTACATCGACGTCTTTGGAAGGCGCTTCCAAAAGGAGCTGGAACAGCTTAGGACAGATATGGCTCGTTGGCAGAACTCTCCCGAAGGATCAACTAGTCCTATCCTTATCCCTGAGCCCAGCCCTCTCAGTGAAGCCATCAATGCACACAGCGAGGAGAAGCGATCTAGCGTTGATCGAATCCCTTTGTTGGAAACTGCCGATGTCTCCTCTACTGATATACCGGAGAAAGACAACAAGGATTCTGTTGTTCGAGAGCGAATTTGAACATTACGAGATACCATGTTGACATCGTTATGCCAGTCTTTATATACCCTTTGTTGGTTCTTGTCAAGATTCATGAGCCTGAATTGAGCGAGTCGGTTTATAGATGTACACGTTATTAGATTGAATGAATGTTATGAAAATACTTCTCCGTCGGTCCGTTCTCGAACTGTCCGGGATCTCTTTAACCCCGAGCAAAACCCGAGGCGGTCTCGGCCGTCACGTGCCAGATGACTGCGGCAGTACATCACAACATCTCGTCGGATCCGGTTCCAGGACATTCCAAACTTGTGACCGACATTTTATTACTGAGATTTTTTTTTTGGATCATCCTCTGGACATTAAGATTAATCATTAATTTCATTATTGTTGCCCTATAAACCCCCTGTTCGCTCGTTGCTTCGTGCACCAACTTTTTCACCGTTTCCCGCAAATGTCCGCTACAATGAGATCAACCGGATTAGTCCGCGGAACACCTGCTTTCCGGTCTGCACTAATCGGTAAGTGACGAGTCCAGAAATAAATGGAAATGCCAGTTGCTGATACTTCCCAGCAGGCCGTAGTCGTTCCAGTGCATTGAGCCCGGCCTCCATTGCAGCCCGCAGCCTTCTACGAAATGGCCGCGATCTGCCATCCCAGATCTCGGCCCTGGCCATCCTGATCCCGCAGCGTGGATATGCGACCGAGCCAACCCAGTCCACCAACTCTTCTCAGAACTACCCTCCCCCCGGGTTCAATGCCGAGCAGGCCAAGAAGCCGCTCCCCCAGGAACAGACCACGCAGCCACAATCGACGGTGGCGAAGACCCCCGAGACACAGGCGGCTGCTAAGCCGGCTGCCTCTGGAGAGGTTGCGAAGACGAGCGTGGAGGAGCAGAAGTTGGCTGAGAAGAAGAGCGCGAAAAAGTTGACGTTTGGACAGAAGGTCAAGAAGGAGTTGCAGCATTACTGGGATGGTACGAAGTTGCTTTCCACGGAGGTTAAGATTAGTTCGAGGCTGGCGTTGAAGATGGCCGGTGGTTATGAGCTGAGTCGTCGAGAGCACCGCCAGGTATGCGCCACTACAATATTTCGATTTGACGATTGGCTAACTGAGTTTGATTAGCTCCAACGTACTACAAAGGATCTGGGACGTTTGGTTCCGTTTTCGATGTTCCTCATCGTACCATTTGCCGAACTCCTCCTCCCCGTCGCCTTGAAGCTCTTCCCCAACATGCTCCCCAGCACATACGAGGGGCAGAAGGCCCGTGATGCCAAGGCATTGAACCTCAGATCGACCCGCAAAGAAGTTTCGGCATTTCTACGCAACACCATTGGCGAGACTGGTCTGCCTTTGACCGCAGCCACTGTCAAGAACCACGAATTCACAGACTTCTTCCGCAAGATTCGCACCACCGGCGAATCGCCCTCGACCGAGGATGTCATCAAGGTGTGCAAGATCTTCAAGGACGATCTGACCCTTGACAACTTGTCCCGACCCCAGCTGGTCGGCATTTGCCGTTACATGAACCTGAACTCTTTCGGTACCGACGCCATGCTCCGATACACTATTCGCCACCGTATGCGCCAGATCAAGCGTGACGACCGCGCGATCTTCTACGAGGGCGTTGATTCCCTCTCCGTCCCCGAACTGCAGATGGCCGGCGCCTCGCGCGGTATCCGCACACACGGTGTCTCCCCCGCGCGCCTGCGCGAGGATCTCACCATGTGGCTCGAGCTGCGTCTCAAGCAGGGTGTCCCCTCGACTCTGCTGGTCTTGAGTAACGCCTACCTATACACACAGGGCAAGGAGACCGAGTTCTCGTCGCAAGTCGACGCGCTCAAGTCTGTGCTCTCTAGTATTCCCGAGGAGCTGTTCCACGAGATCGAACTCGAGGTGCACAATGCCGAGGGCGCTGCTACCAACAAGCAGCGTCTGGAGGTTATCAAGGAGCAGGAGGAGCTGATCTCGGAGGAGAACGAGCAGAACAGCAAGAATGAGGTCAAGGGCGTTTCCGTACCTAAGGATACCGAGGATATCGACGAGAAGGAGGAGACTAAGGTCCAGCCTCCGGTCGATGGTGATAAGCAGTCTGCTGAGGCCAAGGATGCTTTAGCGGAGGGTGAGCGCGCCGAGAAGACCTCGGAGGCCAAGGATGCGAAGAAGAGCGAAAGCGTGTAGTTATATTGTTTGATTTATCTTGGATTGTACTTGTCATATAGATTTCCTTTACTTTGGCCCTCATTTGGTTTTCTTCCCTTCGGTTCTCTCCTGTGTTATTTATTTCGTGTTGATAGACCATTTGATCCCCGCCTCTCCCTTATTATGTTCCTGTATACTCTATTGACTCCCATATCTCTAATACAACTACATCCGTGGATAAATCAACCGTAACACTTGAAGTACTCTCCGGATTTATATCATTAGTCACCGACATTCCAAATTACCTCGGCTACAAACCCCATCTTCCCAGTATACAACCTGGCCACGGAGTACTCCGTCCATATCTCGGTCCAACAAACCCATTTGAAATGCTCTCACGACCACAGCGCAACCTTCTCCAAAGACTTCGTTTCAGCCACGCTTACCAAAGCCCAACCCAAAACCAGCCCAAATCATCCATGCACTCCAACCCCAACCCCAACCCCGAACCCCGAGCATCCAAAATAATGCCGCCCCTAAATCCAACCTCGCAGGTATGTGTAACTTGTTCTCTGCAGCTACCCGAAAGGACCGCGTGTCCTGTGGGATTCCGAATCTGAATCTGCTGTATCCATTTTGCCATGCGCCCCTACGATCATGTATCCCTGCGGGTGTTCCCCCTGCTTCTTTTCCCCCTGAGCCACGGGGGGTGTGTCTTAAATTGCCATGTTTCTTTTCTTTTTTTTTCCTGCGACGATCATACCTGGATGTGTTATTATCCAGGGAGCGGTTCGGTCTCGGGGCTATGGGCGTTTGAGTTTCGGCTTCCAGTCTTACGTGTGTTGGGACCTGTTTGAATTAGGCAGGAGATGAGATGAGATGAGATGAGATGGAATATTCTTTTCTTTGATTGTCTGAGACAAGGTTCTTCACGGTCCAGCCGAGACTTGACCGTTCGATTTCTTTTTCCCCGTGGATGGACATCCCGATGTTAAACGCAACCACAGTATAGAAAGGAGGAAAGAAGGAATGCTGATATTTACTTGCACATGTATCAGGAGGCAATCGCCAGACTTCGAAATTACATCCCTCCGCCAACAACGTACTACTCGGTCCCGGTAAGCAGACGGGCGGCAGTGCTGCTACTGCTCTTCGCCGACGCCAAGGGCGATCTTAGGGTGGTGGTTACGATCCGGGCTAAGACACTAAGTTCGTGTGAGTGACCAGAACTTAGAAAATACGTGGATCAGCCCTGTTCCCAGGCTGCATGACATGGGTTGGTTGTTCGGGACTAGGCTAATGATATTCGGGTCTACGGAGTAGACGCGGGAGATGCTGCATTGCCAGGTGGTAAGTTTGACAGCTCCAGACTCTGCAAGGCAAAGGCAAAAGAGAAAGGAATAAAAAAAAGAATAAATTCCTCGCTTAAAATAAACTAACCCCTTCTTCACCGGAGTAGGCCGAGCAGAAAATACAGAATCCGCCTTCCAAACGGCGCGGCGCGAGGCATGTGAGGAGATCGGCCTCCCCGACATTCAGGAAAGGGAAAAGCTTCCACCCCCGTTCAGCGTGGAGCATCTCTGCGAGTTCCCGGCAAATCTTGCCCGAACGGAGGTGGTGGTTCGTCCCTGCGTTGCGCTCCTCCACAGTTATGATGCGGGCTTGGGGCTGAATTCTAATCCTGAGGTGTCACTTATTCCTATTCTGGACACGAGAGAGGTTGAGGTTGTTTTTACGGCGCCGTTCCAGGACTTTCTGCGCGGACATGGAGAGAATGGGGAGGACTGGTATCGTGGGTCTTGGGGGATGTGGCATAATTCGCAATGGAGAAGTAAGTGGCCTCCCCCTATGTTGATGTATGTGTTGTGTCTGTGTTGTGTGTGGGATTGCCAAGTGGAGGACGTCCCAAATAGGAAATAGCCTGGAGACTAACTACGCCACTAGTGCATCAGTTCTTTGTTCCCAGAGCAGACCAAGTCTACCGTATCTTTGGCATGACTGCACGCATTATCGTCGACGCAGCCCGGGTCGCATACGCGCAGGAACCGGAATTCGAACATAACAGTCATTTTGGCGACGAGGCCATGATCGCCGACCTGCGCCAGTTGGGCCGGTTAGGTGAAAAGGCCAAAGTTTAGGAGAAGGACTGTGCAGATAGACATGCCAATAAGAAGTATATAAATAAGACGGCCAATCAGACGAGGGCGTAAGCGGATCAAGGGCGATCAAGTCCTTGCGTCAGTTCGTTTGACGATGTCTGTTTGTTAATAAGATTAGGCGTTAAGGGTCTGTTAGTTATAAGCCCTGATCTCTCCTTGCATCGGATATCATTCATAACTTCACTCTTCGTCTTTCTTTGTTACACCTACTTATTTCCATTTCTTTGATGCGTATTTGATTGTTCGACATTCGACATTTCCAAATGCCAACCTTGTACACCCGAATGGCTCCCCCCGTTCGACCATCTCGCTCACTCGAAGGACTCGAGCGAGTAATCCCACCACTGTCACCCCAACCTCCCTTCTCAAATCGCTCCGATCTCTTCCTCAACAAACCCCTCCCCGCAAAACCCCTGGACCCAGAATGTTCGGCGATGTGGAGTGACTCCGACAGCGACACCGAAAGCACCCTCGACAGCATCACCAGCGAACCCCGCCACTCCGCAGACAGCTATCCCATCGGCATCTTCGTCAGTTCCGGCTCCGACTTTGACGACTTGGGCGATCACCCGCCTCCAGCCGATCAGCTCCTGAGACTATCCCCACAGCCTCCACATAAACGCACGGACTCGATCGATATCAATATCCCCGAGCCGTCAGTCTCAGTATCGTCTTCGTTTTCGTCCCAGTACGGACGGCCCTCGAACTGGAGCCAGAACCGCACGGGCACGAATCACTACTTCCGCGAGAAAAAGTGGGATTATTTCCCGGAACTCGCGCCCTCCGCTGTCCAAGCAAGTGGCCGCATCAGCCCAAACATGAACAATAAATCCCGCAAAATCGGAAACCCGCTGGAATTCGCCAAGGGCAAGTACCGCTGGCACTCGCTCGACCGCGGCGGTCTCGTCGGAGTGCGTGACTCGATCAAGACGTACGTGCACCGCACTCTCTCGCGCGACTCGACAGAGAATAAACCAAAGGAAATTACCCGTCCGGCGACGGCGCCTATGGACCACCATCTTAATGATGTAGGCGGTGCGCTCGGTAACACACCGCAGCAATCTACTTTAGCTTTGGTTTTGGACACGCAGGCCGCGCTGCGAGCCCCGTCCGTCGCAACGTCCAGCAGCAGCGACTACGACTATACCAACCACAGATTCCATCTTCAGACACCGACCTCGCCTACTTCGCTTTCATCCCCGACAACGCCACGGCAGAAACAGCTCGCCGTGCCGCTATCCGCGTACCAGAAACACGGGCCCGTGATCTGGGACGCGCCCAAGAAGACTAAGAAGCGCAATGTTCAGTTCCCGAGATACAAGTCCCCGCCTGGATCCGTGGCAGAGCCTTCTTCGTCTTCGGCTCCCGATTTGTCTTACTCTAATGCTACGCTGGCTTCGCGGAAGTCGCAGAACAATACCCGGGGCGTGTTCCTGAAACGAATTGGGGAGTCCAAGGATGATCGCAGGAGGGAGCAGTTGAAGGCGCAGATCAAGTTGGTTGGGCCTGTTAATCCGCATACTTATGTGCAGGCTGATCCGTGGGTTTGATTGTGTTTCTTGTTTTGTTTTTGTTCTTCAGCACTACTCTCATGACTTCTCACGACATCTATACCTATCTATACCCTCTTCACTTATGTCTTTGTTCTTGTTTTTACTGCATATTCTGTCTTGTTCTGTGGCTTCAGTTGTACCTTGTTATTATTAGATTTTCTAAATATTTCCAAACAAGTACTTCTAGCTCAACTTGGTGTAAGCCATGACTCTTGGAAATCAGTTTCAATCATACCATTCCACCTCATTTAGATACTCAACTGCGTCGTAAACTCAATAATCAATTAAACTTCTCTGCACAACACCTAATCACCTCTACAGACGCTAGTTTCTTACATGCACATCCATACCGCACAGGTGCATACAGCCAACAAACCAACGTAGATCGCCACTGTCAGGCAACTCCAGTCATATTTGAGATACACCCGCCTTGACACCACTCTACTCCGCACTTAGTCAAAGCCACGTCTGCCATTATCCTTGTATTATATATTCCAATTGGTTCATCTCAGGGCAAGGGTTCCTACTGCCTGCAATGCAATCCAAGAAATTAAATTAAATGAGGGGTAAACCAGGGCCTGAACTCTCTTACCAACTCGCACTGAGATATTTCCTGAGTGTAACCAACCCTCGTGTTGGCAAGCAGTTCTCCGCACAACTAGCGGTGGGTGTGTAGATGAGCTGTTCGTTGGGGAATAGCCCTATCATTATTATTGTGCGGAATGTGGATGTCCACTATATCGGGTGTCATCACCGACTTTTAGAATTGTAAGTTGCTCGGCCTAATTACTCTAAGGGGAGTTGGGCCGGTCTATTGTAGAAACCAATTAATGAGAATAATACTGAATAATATCCATGCTGTAGGACATGAGATACGTTGATCAACCCCACTTTGCATTTGGGCTAAGCGTTGGGCTGGCTATGTACTTCGCTACATGAAGAAACGAAGGATATGTGCGTATCCGAGCTGTCGTCGGGTCGGTGATGGGTCGGAATTCGACGAAGATCTAGATGTCGGATCGGATGTGTTGACTTTGTGTTCATCTTGGCTTGGACAGGTCGACCTTCTCAAGTTCTATGTTCCAAGGTTAATATGGTGGCTTACTGTGGGTATCCTTGGAATAATAAGATCGCACCTATCTCAATTCTAGAAGCGACTTGTATCTATCATGACGAGGTCGCTCATCCCGATCTGTATTTTGGCCTCTGTGGCGGTATGCTGGTAGAAAGGGCCGCTAGCAGAGTCTAGAGCTATGAGCATTCCATGGTGACGATTTGATATAGTTTAGGGCTTTGTGGATGGTCGCTATCAGGATTAACAGTCAGCTTCTATACTTCACGGTATAGAACTTGGATAACCTGAATATCAAGTTGGTTAACACTGTTCTATCGCTTGTATAATCAGATTTCCAGAACAATGGCTTTTTTCAGCCGCAAACTAATGTACAAACTACTTTTTCATTGTTATTGCGGTCACTTTCAACAGGACGTCAAGACTAGAAGACAGAGGATAATCATGGAAGTAATTCAATGTGCCATCTCTTGTATCCATATTCTAGTCCGGAGTCAGACAAACTATACCACAGCGACTCATTCATCCAACATACAAAGGGTTTTACACCAATTACAATCAACTGATGACTGCACATAGACTCAAGATCTCCACTTGAGGCAACAATGAGATCCCTCCAAGCGGAGTCGCCGCTGACCTAAGGTGCGGCCCCGTTTTCTTCTAGTATACGTGGACCTCATACACGGCGACCTAGTATACGGCGACCTAATATACAGCGACCTAGTATACGCGGACCAACCTGGGTATATAAGTCGGAGACTTCCCCACGTCAGACGATCTTTCTACCAACCTACACCGCTGCAGTCATCCCTGACTGCAGTCAATGTCAGACATGGTGACATGTCCTGACCATGGAAAGGACCTGTGAAGGTCTCTTCATGTGGAATCTCAGGCATTGCCTGGACTTGGGCTTGTTCTTTTTGATGTGCCTTTCCCGGTAAGTGAAATATGCTTTGTTCTCTCTTGTTGTGTCAGTCGCTAATATGTATATGGGTAGGCCACTGAGAATTTTGGTCGCTCGTCTCAAGGGCGATATTGATGAGTCCTTTGAAATGACGGGGCAGATGAAGAGCGTCCTGACCATGGAAAGGACCTGTGAAAAGGTCTATTCATGTGGAATCTCAGGCATTGCCTGAACTTGGCCTTGCTCTCTTTGATGTGCTTTCCCGGTATGCACTATGCTTTTTCTCTCTTGTTGTGTCAGTCGCTAATAGGTATACGGGTAGGTCACCTTTGAGATTTTTTGGATGCTCATCCAAAGGGTGATATCGACGAGCAGTTCGCAACGATGGGGCAGATGATGAGTGTCCTGACCCTCGGAAATGACCTGTAAAGGTCTACTCATGAGGAATCTCTGGCATGGTGCCCTGGTTTTGCGTGTTTTGTTTTTGATGTGCCTTGCCTGGTACGTGAACTATACTTTCTCTCTTGATGTGTGTGTCGCTAATGGGTATACGGGCAGGTCCTTTCTAAGAGCCATTTAACACTCTCCCAAAGGGTGATATCACCCAGAGCATTTTGCCATGACGGAGCCTGTGCTGGAACAATTTCAGGCACCGGCTTAATGATCGAGTGACTGTCTAAAGCTCATCAAATCCGTGCACTCGGATACAATGAGAACCTCGGGCAGACTGGTTTGATGTCGTCGAAAAGATAAAGCATCTATCGACATAGAAAACGACGGATGAGACCTCTTGGTCAGTGGTGGAGCATGTGGGTCGATGAGCGTGAGTAACTCGAGATACACTTGTCAGGTCGTGGAAAGATCCCTATACTAACCAAAAGTCTAGTCCGCAATGCGAGCTTCTCGTGCGTTTCCCTGCAAGGGACGCTCAAGAAGGTCCCGGTCGATTGTGTTGGAGTTTATCAAGCTGCCGCAAGGCCTTCGCTTGCTCTTCTGCCCTACAGAAGATTTCTTGTCTTGGATTCGAAATGTCTCCAAGACCAAAGGCAAAGGCAAGATGGCCGGGGGGGGGGGAGAACGGAGGGCGTTGATATGGTCGGGGTTGGGGTGGTTGAATCGGCCGATGCGGCCGTGGCTGCCGACGTCTTCCATTGCCCCGACCCCGGCCCTAGCAACTCAAGAGAAGGATCTTTTGGAAGTGGAATTTTGAGCTATGTTTCTTGTTGCAATCACCGACTGAGAACTGGCCCATGTCGGTGGCCTGGTTCCTTTTTCTCGCGCGGGCCATGAGCCTGCTGCTCGTGTACCTGAAACATGGTATGAGGTGCTGAATTCCTGGGGAAGCGTTGATAGAGGGAGGTGTGTCTCCCATCTCATAATCTCAATACGGAGAGTTCCCACGGGGAGGCATCACTTCGGAAAAATCACAAGTTCCTTGATATCAAAGCAATCAAAGCAATCAAAGCAATCAAAGCACATTGAAAGCCGTCCTAAGACAACAATTGGAACGTCAAGTATAGACCGAATTCCGCTCTTCAAGCCTAGGTTAAAGTCTTTGCTCATTTCTTCTTTCTATCTGATACCCCAGGAAGAGAGAGAGCTGTGTCAGGTCGCATTGGAGAGATGTCAGTTTGGCGGAAGTCGAGCACCATCAATTCCGATAGCTAGGAGAGATAAATCACGGGCACAGCGCAAGAACTCGACTAAGATGCCTTGAGAATAAAGAAGTAGATGTTGTACTCCGTGTTGTATAGTTGACGATCGAATGCCAAGGAAACATCAGAGCCCCGCCATTCACCGAAGATTCACCTTCGGAGTATGGACACCTTCGGGGTATGGACTCTTGTCATGACTCATTGCTCCGATCTGCTTCAAGTCTGATTTCTTTCGTTACCTTTGTGCGCTTCGTTTACTGCACTCTAGACTCCTACTCCTCTCGGCATCATGGCGCAAGAATCCTCGCAAGTCGCGCCCCGCTACCTGACCGGCGATAAGGCCGGCCTCCAGGAATTCCTAGCCAGATTCGATGTGAGCACACGTTTTGGATCTACCGATGTACTAGAGAGTCCTGTTACTAACCAGATTCTGTACAGGTATTCCTCTTCGACTGTGATGGTCTGTCCCCTCTGTATCGGCCGAAGCTCCCCGCAGCGCTGAACGCGTCGCAACAACCGCTGAGACAATAATATTTAGGCGTCTTATGGTCCGGCGACCACCTCTTCCCCGGAACAGTAGAGACACTGGAGCTTCTCCGAAAGAATGGTGCGCATTAAATACCAAGTGCGCAAACAGAGGTTAATAATCCCCAGGGAAGCAAATCGTTTTCGTGACGAATAACAGCACCAAGTCGCGCGCAGACTACCGCAAGAAACTCGAAGGCTTAGGGATCCCTAGTACAGTGGTCAGTGATACCACCGATTAATCACCTCACCCAGTGGCAGCGACTCACAACCAAACAGGAAGAGATCTTCTCCTCCTCATACAGCGCCTCTATATACATTTCGCGCATCCTCCAACTCCCCGAAAACAAGCGCAAAGTCTACGTGATCGGCGAGACAGGCATCGAGCAAGAGCTCCGCTCCGAGAATGTCCCTTTCATCGGCGGCACAGACCCTGCCTACCGCCGCGACGTCACGTCAGAGGACTACAACAAGATCGCGGCGGGCGATGAGTCCGTCCTAGACCCGGAGGTTGGTGTCGTGCTTGTCGGTCTCGACTTCCACGTGAATTACCTCAAGATCGCGCTGGCATACCACTACATCAAGCGCGGAGCGATCTTCCTCGCCACGAACGTCGACTCCACCCTTCCGCACTCGGGGTCTTTTTTCCCTGGCGCTGGCTCCATGAGCGCGCCGCTGATAATGATGCTGAATCAGGAACCGGTCGCTCTCGGAAAACCCAGTCAGGCTATGATGGATTCCATCGAGGGTAAGTTCAAGTTTGATCGTAGCCGGACTTGCATGGTTGGTGACCGTGTGAATACCGATATTCGCTTTGGACTTGAGGGTAAACTTGGCGGTACGCTGGGTGTCTTGACTGGTGTCTCTTCTGAGGAGGAGTTCGTGTCTGGGGATGTCAGGCCTCATGCTTACTTGGATGCGCTTTCTGATCTACTAGCCTCGGAGGGGGCCTGAAAGATTTGTATTATAACAAATGTTGTATTTAGAGATAGACATACGAACACAATGATTCACCCATAGAATATCTGTAGCCAGGGCTATCCTATCGAGTTTCGCTTCTTCCATGACAAAATGTCTTCATACGGGTATGTGTACTACAAGTAATACCAAACAAGTCCCCTCGTAGATCGGAAATATCAATTTACCCTCGGCAATTCTCCCCACTCAATGATGTCCAGTTCCACAGCTCCGGGGCGATGGACCTCGGGAGTTATATTCAGGCATTGGAAGCCCTAATTAGTTCACTAAGAGCTTTCCAAAGTTGATAATTAACTATAACTACCAGCTTATTAAAAAGGATAAGGAAGTCCCCTAAATCCAAAGGTCGGGTTTATTCTACAATTCGATAAAGTCCAGGTCTCTGTTCATGCGCCTTTCAGGGCTTAATTGTTGCTTCCATCTCGCTTCCTATACCTCCAGCCTTCGGTGACCGGCAAAAATAACCCTATCGGATGGCCTACTGCATAGAGATGTCACCATCCCTATCGGGAAGAGCGCTAGCTAGTGCAGTAACAAGGATTCCCTGTATCGGTTTAGTTGTGATGTAAGAGATTCTCCTAGAATCAATACTCACGATGTCGATCTGTTCAAGAAGGTTCATTGGGTCGATAGTATGGTCCTTAAGGGTAGTGTCAGTAATGAATCAAAATAGTTCAGCTGGGGGATCTTGTACGCGGCAGAGTGTCTCGACGGCGGATTTCCAAAGAGCGAATAGTGGACAACGCCGCTGAAGGTGTCTGGGGTCGTGGCAGAGGTAACAGGCCGGTGTGATGGCGATGCTGCTCTGTGACATACTCTTTATTTGTTAGTTGTTGGTCTAAAAGGGTTTGTTCTCAGACTGGTTATAGATATGAGAGTGGCATGGTGGAGTATGACTTACCTGGTGCTGGTGTTGGCCTTGGTGTTGATACTGTTGTTGTAGGTTTCGGTGATACTGTTGTCTATCGTCATGACCAGCTCCTTGGGTAGCTCTACCAGCACGATTGGGGTCACGACTAGCTCCCTGGCGTTGTCTGATAGGGCGTGTAGAGTCCATATCAAGATGAGTGAGAATATAAGTCTTGAAGTCGCAGAATATGTTGAGGATCAAGACTTGGGAATTTCAGATTCTTGACCAAAGATGAGAGTTGGTAGGAGATACGAAGTAGAACGGCAAGCTCCTTCATGGTTGGTTAAGCAGAGTAAGAGGGAGTTGAGCTCCTCTCCCCTAACCACCTCCTATGCTTCTCCTACCTCCTTTTTGTTTGACGCCTGTATTTGGATCTTGCTTTATTGCTGGTAAAACGAAAGAAAGGTCTGGGATAAAGCTACAATCGTTGTTTGATTTAGGGGACTTTACTTCACGCTATTTCCAAGTCTATATTGTTATTTACTGGCGCCAGCTCATCGACGTCCTAGTCTTCAGTCAAATCATCGAATCAGAAGCGTGTCTACCCCCTATTCACCAGAAAAGCTCAAGACGCAGTCATGTACATGATTACTAGCTATGCGTGTGCATAAATTACTCGTCAAGTAGTTCAGACTCACTCGGTACTTAGTAGTTCACAGAAAAGCACCGTGAAAGGGTATCATGATCATTCCATTCGAACAAGATCTGAGTGCTAAAAAACCGAATATAACGCCTCAAACATGTAGGCGTCCTTGTCCTGAACGCCTTTTTTCCGATCAAATATTCGGAGTCTCACTGCTGACCATAAGGGTCAAGGGTTGGGGAAACCGCCTCTAGTTTCCACGCAGAACTCCAGCGATGCGTAATGCTAGGTCCAACATGGAGAGATGCTCGTCGGATCCATCAACCAGTCGCTTGTCGACCTCTGAGAAGAGCATGACAATCTTGTTTTTCTGAATATCGGGAATTGCCTCGTTGAACACTACACGGCGGTATAACTAGAAAGGTCAGCAAAGGTATGGGGAACACCCAGGAAGAAGACAAACCTGTCCAACCAGCTGCGTAGCACTCCAGCCATCAGCCACAATATCCGTAATCACCCCCGAGACAGCCTCGTAGGCCGACGCACCACTCGTAGGCTGCATAGCCTCGACAAGAGAATCCAAAACATCATCCGGCAGCACCCCGGCGATTTCCTCAATGCTGTTAACCGTAATAACACTAGAATTACTACCCACATCCGTCATCTCCGCATCATCATCGGCATCCTTCACAGCAGGCGGCTTCGTAGGACCGACCAAGCGCGCCGCGCTCTGCAGATACGTGATGGCACGACGCAAATCACCCTCGCCACACCGGATAAGCGTATCAACAACTCCATCCTCAAGCTGCAAGCCCTCCTGCTCTGCGATATTCGAGATCCGCTCACCAGCAGCGCTATTATCCAGCATCTTGAACCGGAACTTGCTGCAACGACTGGCGAGCGGCTCGATGATGCGCGTGACGTAGTTGCAGACAAGACAGAAACGTGTGATCCGACTGTATGTCTCCATCGTGCGGCGCAAAGCGGACTGTGCGTCTTGCGTCATGCTGTCTGCCTCGTCGAGGATGATGATCTTGAATGGTGGACATGGGTACTGTGCGCGGTAGGCGGCGTCCAGGCCTGTTGGTTGGGAGAGCTGGGCTCGCGCGAAATTCTTCACTTTGTCGCGGACGATGCCGATACCGCGCTCGTCGGAGGCGTTGAGTTCGAGGATTCGGGAGCGGTAAAGGGCGGGCCCGAAGAGGGATTTGGCGAGGGCGAGGATTGTGGATGTTTTTCCTGTGCCGGGGGGTCCGTAGAAGAGCATATGGGGGAGCTGCGAGTGTTATTTTATTGCTTCAATTGTTCGGGGCGGGTGGTTTACGTTTGAAGCTTGCAGAGTGCGCCGCAAGACTTTGGTCGTGTGGTCTTGCGCAGCAACATCATCCAGGGTCTTGGGGCGACTAATTGATATTAGCCAATGCTGGGTAAGCTGGAATAGAGCATTGACTTACTATTTCTCAACCCACGGCTGGAGTTTAGTTGAGTCTTCCTTGTTGTCGCCAGCCTTGAGCTTAGAGCTGCTGGATGCTGCGGCGGCAGCGGCACGAGCCTTATTATTGAAAAAAGAGGCAGCCATTGTTGTTGAATAGCCGAAATTAACAAGGCAGGTTATCTCGAGAGCTGCTCTGCGATGTGTTGGAGTCTTTCTGACGCCCTCCACAATCAAGACGCGTCTCCACGTGACACGCGCAGCACTTAAACACTAGCCAATGAGAGCAGCTCACTGTCTGAGTATACTTCAACCTATCGCCAGCGTTAATGCTGGTCTTATAGACTATGGGGATCAACATTGCGAGGGTCATGATTGCATGGTATCTCATTAATGCTTGTATCAATATTTATAGCTTATAGCTCGTCTCGCACCGGCTCCTCCATCCCAGCCTCGAACATCCTCTTTTTTGTATTCCGGGGAAGCTTTGCTTGTCTTGCCCTCTCCTCCGGGGTGACGTCGTCAATGTCTACGCTTTTTTGTCTCTCTTGCTCGACCATATCGCCAATTTTATCAATTACACGATTGCTGTCGATGGGTGCGGTCGGCTCTTGCTCCCAGGCGGTGCTACTGGCTGTCACGGTTCCTGTTGTAGCCGCCGTGGCCATTTGATGGATAGCCGTAGAGACGTCCCTTGAGATGGATTGAGAAGCAGACTGCACAGCTGTAGTGGATAGCCCGGCTGCACCTGTTGCAAACGCAAGCCGAGCAAAGAGCTTCAAAGGCTGCCATACGAGCCACCAAAGAGGCCCATAAAAGACACGTCGGAATAGGAGCCAGCCAATTGTCGCAAGAAGGATATAGAAAGCAGTCTCAAGGTACCATGTGTCGGACTTTTGGGAACGGAGAAGAGAGTTCGCTAGACTGCGAGTTGAAGAGAGAAGTGTATCAAGGCTGCTATAGGACTCAGACAGAGAGGAGATCGCGGCTGTGGATTGTTCTGATTAAGAATATTAGCGTCTGGTAGGATAAGGAAATGGATAGATGTACTTACCAAGAGTTGATTGGGCAAAATGGCTACGGGAGAGCTCCGCCTGCATGAGTTGATGGGTTCTGCGTAGCGCAGATGTCACATCGTTCGAGGCGTTCAAAACAAGATCATCCTGGGTGAACTTCTCTGACGGCTTCTTCTTTTCGGAAGAGTACGATCTCGACAGCAGCAAATCTCTCTCCTTCCGCCTGGCGAGTTCGGCATTCCGCTTCGCTTGTAATTGGGCGGTTCGGAAATCACCTCGTGTTCTGAAGGGCCGATTAGCACATGCTACATATTTCAAGACTAGCCAGTGGACTATGACAAGGAATCTCGCCGGCATGCGCAGTCGTTGAAGGGTATCTTACCTCATGAGATCCTCAGCCAATCGCCCTGCCATAGAAACAACCCGCTCTTTCTCAACCTCCTTCTGTCCATGCACAGCAGATGACTTGCGCCTGCTATCTGAGCCAGTTTCCAGCGCTTCAACCTCCACACGCAGCAGCTCCAACTCTTGTTCGGCTTCCTTCAGCCGGGAATGTATCTCACCCCCAAGCTCCAGACGTGCTTCATCTCCCTGTCCAATAGAAGCAGTAAAATCGCGCAGTCGATCCACGAGGGGCTGGATTTGTCCTAGGGAAGCCGAGAGCTCTTTCACGCGGCCCTGGAGAGCTGTCGTGGAGGACATGTTGTTATAGACGCATTCAAGTGCTGTTTGTTCGGGGAGTAGAAGGGGTGTCTCTGAAAATAGACACAAGTGTAGAATAAACCGAGAGATTCAAAACAATAAGTTGCTTCATAAGTGTCGAGTTGTTCAACTCAAGAGTTGCCAGCGTCATTAGGCGTTGTGTTTGCATCCGAGTCAAACATGCCCCATTTCCTCCAACCGCAATTCGCAACGGCCTCCGATGTGGTGAGAACTTCCAATTGACCTTGCGCCATTACCTATCAGACTTGTCGCAGACCGACTAGGGTCCAAGCAATTTTCTCATTGGATCAATCTCCCACCGAGGGTCATTTGTCCAACTGCTGCGTAATCTACTGCAGAAACACCACCTTTAAAAAACTTCCCGCCAACCCTCATCCACTCAGGTACGCAACAACGGAACCAAGACGGAGCTATAGGATATCATTCGCTCTTGAAAGATTAAAACTGATCAATTTACCAGTCCACAAAAGTCTCTCTCCCACTCACCACTCAACCGCAACAATGGGCATCCCCATCGCCACGATAACCACCTTCCGGACCGCCTACAACCCCTTCTCCCGCGCTGCCCGGCCATGCCGCCTCTTCCTAGGCATGCTGCGCACACCAGACACTATCCCAACCAGCAGCCCGACGCACATTGATATCAAGGTCAAGCAATTGCCGCGCAACTCCACCGAGTCACCGACCATGACTATCGGGTTCAAGGGCGGCAAGGAACTTACGCTGGATGTCGGAAAGCGCGGGCTGAAGATTGGCGATGTTATTGAGGAGGTGTCTCGTGTTGGCCGAGCTCTGCAGCGTGAGGCCAGCTTGAAGAACTAAGAGATTTTGTTGTTCGAGCTTGTATTCGTGTATTATATTACCTATCATTTTCATCTAACGATTCTGGCGCTGTTGGCGCTGTTGGGCATGTGGAATACTTGAATTATTGTTGGTAAAAACCATAAGATGTTCATGCTTCTACCTGATACTAGGATTACTGGAGTGGATTTGATCTTGCACAAACTGATCCTGAAAGTGATTGTTTCATTGCTATCCAGTTGAATTTGCATTTGCCCAGAGATTACTCTTCTCTACACTGTAGTAAGAATTTGAATACTGAGAGCGATTCATTGACAGTTCAGAAATGGGTCTTTTCCTCGGAAAATCGAAGAATGCACTTCCCATCAGGCGTAAGATCATAGGCTTGGAAGTTTTGTGTTAGTTTTATAGGTCTCTTTCAGAGAATATCATTTATACTGCGGCACCTGAGATGAAGAACCACTTGTCAATGCTTCCATCAATGGGAGCAGGGGGGAGGTTCTCGTTGCGGGGGATGGCAGCGAGCTGGGCCTGGTCAACACGGTCGGGAGAGTTCTCGACGGTGGTGTTGGCACTGTGCAGGTTAGCTTCAAATCCTCAAAATAGGATACATGCATGTAGAACTCACAGGCTGATATCGCCACGGGGGGTCTTGCCAGTGACAAGCTTCTCCCAGGCATCGGAGCACTCGCGGATGACATCCTCGGCGTACTTCTTGTTCTTGCACTCGCCGGAGAAGGCGAACTGGTTCTCGGGCTTTCCGTCGGGGATCTTGTAAATGCGGAACCACTCGTTGGTGGCGCGCATGAGACCAGGAAGCTGGCGCTCGACATCCTCGATGTCGTTGAGCTTGGGAGCAAGAGGGTCGTTGACGTCGATGACAATGATCTTCCAGTCGGTCTCCTCCTCGTCAATCAGGGCCATGACGCCGAGAACCTTGACCTGCTTGACCTGGCCGGTGTAGCCGACAAGCTCACCAATCTCGCAAACGTCGAGGGGATCGTTGTCACCCTTGGCCTTGGTCTCGGGGTGGATGGAGTTGGGGTCCTCCCAAGTCTGGTAGATAACGTCAGTTTTCTGCCCCTCTTCTTACCCACGGGTGTGGGAGGAAGGTTCGAAGCTTACGCGAGGGAAGGCACCGTAGTTCCAGAGGTAACCCTTGTGAGGGAAGCAGTTGCGGACGAAGCGGAGCTTGCCCTTCTTGGTGTCCTGCTTGATGGGGTTGAGGAAATCATCCTTGGAGATCTGTGTTGATGCGATCAGTATAAAGCTGAGGTCAATTGCGGGACTGTGTGTCGTACCTCCTGCTTGGCGTTGGTCCAGCGGGGGATCTCAACGACCATGTTCAGGATGGTTTGCTGCTCGTTGGCGTAGAGAGGAATGTCGTGGAAGGGAGAAACAGGGACGCCATCCTTCTCAACGAACACGCGGTGCTCGAGAGTGTATGGGGTACCGATCTTGCGGATGGAGTAAGTCATGTTGGGCGAGGTAGACGAAATGTGTCGAGATACTTGTGCCACACGGGATAAGGGAGAAGAAAAGGAAGAGGAAGAGAGAGGGGCAGCAGAAGTGGGGGGAGCCAGCGCTGCTGATGTGCGCCAAACACGGCGGGAGGCGGTGGAGGTGGCACTTCCCAGTCGGGCCAAGGGAGGACAAGTCATTGGCTGTGTTGGAAAGCTCTGGATGCCGTGTTTGTTTGATTTAGTATTTCAGATACAGAACTTGAAATTGAATGTTATAATCTCAATCAAAGGGTATAGCTGCAATGCGTGGCGGTGTTACCCCTTGTCGGAGGTTTGTATGGGGAAAAATTAAACATGGCAGTTCCGAAACTCGGCTTCTTGTGGTCACCCCGACTTTGATATCCCGACTGGACCAGGCCACTGTGGATGTCTATTGTATATAATTGACTCTATGCGGTGAGACGTACATAGCATACATGTACGCTATATCTTTTAGCTATTTGACAGATGTATGTTGTACACCGCATGTACATACCCGACCCCATACTATGACGCCGATATCGGCAGTATACGTACGCCTATGTTGTCTAGATCAATCGCTTATTCAGTCCAATTGTATTCCTTCAACTGTAGAATATTAACAAAAGAGGCATCTTGGGATCACAGCCTTGGAAGTCATGTCGTGATCCTTGGCTGGGAACAGAGCCCAATGATTGGCTGCTTTAGCTCAGCTTGAAAAATACCAGAATAAAGTAAATTACATCAATACGTGAAATCCAATGACAACCCTCATTAAAAAAACAGTTATCGCCACTATCTTCACGTGACTCGAGCTTTCCATCGCGAGTCACCCCAGGAAAAAAAAAAGCCGCTCCCCGCACACAGCATATGGGAATGCTATGATCAGAATTTTACGCAAAACAATGACAACTCTCGCAACCGCAGCTACAACCGCCCCCGCGTCGGCCGTTGTGCCGCGCGTGTCCATCCCTACCAACGGCGTCGACTACCGCAACAAAATCGTCCTCGCTCCAATGGTCCGCTCAGGCGAACTACCCTCACGCCTCCTAGCATTGAAATACGGCGCCGACCTCGTCTGGGGCCCGGAAACAATCGACCGCGCGATGATTGGCGCCGAGCGACGTGTGAACCCACGAAACGGCACCATCGAATTCACCCGCATGCCCAGCAACGGCGGCCGCCCTAACAAATCACTCAAAGAATCAGTCATCTACCGCATTGACCCGGCGCGCGAAAAGGGACGACTAGTCTACCAAATCGGCACGGCCAGCCCGGAGCTAGCAGTGCAGGCGGCGCGCGTCGTGGCCGCCGACGTCTCAGGCATCGACGTCAACTCCGGCTGCCCGAAACCCTTCTCCACGAGCGGCGGCATGGGCGCCGCCCTCCTCCGCACCCCAGACCTGCTCGTCTCGATCCTGGAGGCCCTCGTCAAGGAAGTCGGGACACCCTTCCAAATCGGCATCTCGGTCAAGATCCGCATCCTCTCCAAGCCCGAAGAAACAGAAGCCCTCGTCTCGCGCCTCGTCAAAACAGGCATCACGGGCTTGACGGTGCACTGTCGCACGACTCCCATGCGGCCGCGCGAACGCGCAATCCGTGACCAACTCCCCATGGTAGCGAGGATCTGCCACGACGCCGGTGTGGCGTGCGTGATGAACGGCGACGTGACGTCGCGCGACCAGGGCCTCGCGCTGATGGCCGAGTACGGCGTTGACGGTGCGATGATCGCGACCTCCGCGGAGACCAACGCCTCTTGTTTCCGGACTAACGAGGATGGCGGCGTCGCGCCGTGGCGGGACGTTGTCTACGAGTACATGCGCTTCTGTATGGAGTCGGAGAATCGGCTGGGAAATACCAAGTACTTGCTTAACATGCTGATTCCCGGAAAAGACAAAGAGTTCAAGGATGCGAAACTGTCAAAGACGTATCTTGATATCTGCCGCGCGTTGAAATTCGAGGATTTGCTTCCTGCTGCTATGCGTGTTGATGAGCTACTCGGTCTCGATGAGAAATGGGAGGCTGCCCCCGATACAGAATCCCAGGCGGAGCCTAAATCAAAGGCTGTGCAGAATGCCAAGGTGTCGGAGGCTGCTCGTGCAGCTGGCGGCGGTGCTGTTCGGACTAAGACGCCCTCGCCGGCTGTTCATGCGGGTGGTCCTATCCGGCGGTCTTCTGCTCCTCAGCCAGCTAAGGTTGTTCAGGTTGATGCAGAGCAGCCAGCTGTTGAGGCTGCTATTACCGCTGCACAGACTCAGGCTCCGTCTCAGGTGACGGCGTAAATGATGCTTGCGTTTTCTGTCCATTGTCACTTCTCTTCACATCTTGTCTTCGGTCCCATGCATAGCCTTCGGTTTTCTCTCAGTTCATTCTTCCTTTTATCTTGCTTTTATCTGCATTCTGAGGTGTTTATGATTGCTTTCATCTGTTCTCTCTATAGATTATTCCCCACTTATATACACCATGCTCCTTGATGACTATCTAGTCCTTATTACAATACATATCACTCTACGCTTAACAGAGCTTATAACATCGTGTACTAAATCAATGGTAGTTGGATTCGATCCTCTAATCTAACAAATGATCCCCCCCAAACACCAGTATTATGCATTCTCTGCATCGCCATGCAGATACTCACAATAGAAACTCCAGTGTACCCTTTTTTTGTTTTTTTTTTGTTTTTGATTTTCTTGTTTTCTCTTCTCTTTGCGCTCGCTCACTTCTCTGCAGCTGCCGCTGCTTCCGCCGCTGCCTCCGCCTCCAGCTCGGCAATCATCATTTCCTCGACGGCCTTCATGCCGACCTCCTCACTCTTCTTGGCCCCGGCCTCGTCATCTCCAGCCACGGCCTGGTCAAGTGCCAGCTTGGTCTGGCCCAGTGCGTGGATCTGCTCCTCGATGGTGCTCTTGGTCACCAGACGGTAGATCTCGACCTCGCGGGTCTGGCCCACGCGGTGCGCACGGTTCTCAGCCTGCACATCTTCCTGTGGGTTGAAGGAAGAATCGAAGATGACCACGCGGTTGGCACAGGCCAAGTTGATACCGGCACCACCAGCCTTGGTGGACAGGAGGAAGACGGGGATCTCGGTGCGCTCGTGGAAGGCGTCGAGGATGGACTGGCGGTCCTCCACGTTGGTGCGGCCATCCAGGCGGACGAACTCGATTTTCAGGGTTTCCAGGACGTGCTCGAGGATGTCCATCACCATCGTGAATTGAGAGAAGATGAGGGTGCGATCGCCATTGGCGATGAAACGGGTGAGAAGCTCTTTGAGGTGCTCCACCTTACCGGAGTCCATCCATTCATCGTTCTTGAGCTTGAACTTGCCGAGGGAATTGGGGTTCTCCACACACATGTGGTGGCACTCGAAGTCGTTGTATGGCATGAGCTCCTCGTAGATGATGTTAGGGTCGGATAGCGACCACTTGTCTTCCTTCAGGCAGGCCTTGGCCATCTTCTGTAGAATCTCGTTGGTGTAGTGACGACGAGCAAGAAGGGGGTGAATAGCGGCCTGGCGCAGCTTCATGAGAATGTTGGCGGACTTCGACCCAGTCTTCTTTCCAGCAAGACGGTCTGCCACGAGCTGGCGCACTTCTGCCTTTTCGTGATCGTAAATCTTGACCTGAGAAGGTTTCATTTGGCACCAACCAACATGGGAGTGCTTGGCTGGAAGATCAATGACCTGGTGCTTCTTTCGTCGGAGGATAAAGGGCTTCATCATGGACTTTGCGCGCTCAATGCGCTGCTGGGATAGGAGAGTAGCGTGGGACTCGTCGGTGGTCTTGGCCTTGTTGGAAAAGACTGCATGAAGGTCATCCTTGTGCTCGCGGAAGACCGAGGGAAGAATAAAGCCGAGAAGAGATGCCAGCTCCTGCAAGTTATTCTGGAGAGGAGTACCAGTGAGAAGCAGACGGAAACGTGCCCGAATTCGAATCAACTTTTCGTACAGCTGAGATTGATGGTTCTTCAGCATGTGACCTTCATCGTAGACACAGACAGTGAAATCCATATCACGTAAGAACTTAGCATCAAGCTTTGCCTTGGCAATGGTGTAGGTAGTGATCACAACGTTGATCTCGTCACGTCGTTCCTCGATCTCCTCGCGGATGAGAGCACGCTCATTGAGACCGGCGTAGTAAGGCATGACGTTCAAGACCGGACAGAATTTCTGGAACTCGCGAAGCCAATTCTCAATGGTGGAAGATGGAACAACAATCAGGTGAGGGCCCTTAATGCCCTTCTCATACAGATGCGCGAGGAATCCAATGACCTGGCAGGTCTTACCCAGGCCCATGTCATCAGCCAGGATGCAGCTGAGGTTCTTTTCAAACAACAATGCCAGCCAGTTGACCCCCACCACTTGGTAATCCTTCATCACCAGGTCGTCGGCCATGATAGAAGGCTGTGAGATAAAACGAGATTTGCGCTTTGAAACGACCAGTTTGCCGCTTTCTTCGTCACTTTCGGAGGATTGACGTTCAGTTGTAGGAGTTGCAATACCAGAGTCATGTTCTGATTTGGCAGGAGCAAGGTTGGTAATTTCCAAGTCGCCCTTTTTCCCGAAGGTGTCGACACCCCATTTCTTCATCTCTTCGGCGACTGGTTTGCCGAGCTCCTCAACCTCGCCAACAAGAGCGTCAATGGCCAGATATCCAGTCCACATATCAATACACTTGTCGACAATCTTGTCTCCGATGGGCTTAGGGGCCTTGCCTCCTCTCTTGCCCTTGGGCTTCACGGTTTGTGCGACTGGAGCAGAGACAACACGAACTTCATCGAGAGTCTCGTATGGACGGTTCGAAATGATGATTTCTGCGGTTGCTTCGGGGATAGAGGCGATATCAGCGAGATCCTGAACACGACATGTGTTGAAGAATTTCAGGACCTTGGAATCCAAACCGCCAGCGGTGGATTCTTGGACCTGAACGTTTGAATCATCCGAATCACTCATCATAGCCTCGGGGGACTCGGATCGGTCGGGGGAAGGAGCTTTGCGGCCCTTCTGAAGGCGTCCCAACTTCTTTTTCGGGGGACTGTCATCCTTGATTGTGATAGCACGGGAAGGAGAAATAGCACGGGAACCATCAGACTTGGGTCCACGAACGAGTCGGCGACGAGGCTTTCCTTCGTCATCGGATTCCTGACCCTTGGGCTGCTTCATTGCTGCCCACTTGTCCTGGATGGTGCCACGGGCTTTGATGTTCTGCTTGGCCATGGGAACGGGGCCTGTAGCGGGAGAGGCACTCAATTCATCATCGGAGGATGCAATCACCACAGGACCATTTTCAGAATCCATTTTGGCAAGGATCTGGAGCGCGCCGTCGTAGTTTCCCTTTGCTTTCAACATCGCATCCATACAGGCTAGAACAGTCATATGCGGCATAACTTTGAGAATACGCTCAACTTTAACACGGAGTCTGAAGTCGTTGATTTCGTGAAGGGGGATGTCTGGAACTCCTGAAGGTGGCGCGCGAGAGGGCGCATCCTGGCGGGCTTTCTTCGTGGCAACTCCCTTGGGTGCCGGCGGACTCATCTGATCTGCAGTCCGCTTGGTGGCGGTTCCAGCGTTTTTTGGATCGTACATGGCAGAGGCAGTAATTTCTCGGAATCGATCCATTGACCCAGCATCAGGGCGCACGGGCGACTCCATGATCTTTTCTTTTTCAGAATCCCGAGGGGGCTTCGCAAACATGGACGGTTTTATGTCGGGACTTTGTAGATGACACTCTTCGTCTGAAGAGCCACCTCGATATGTTGGGCCGTCGTCGAGATCAAACCGCGGTGTTCGTTTGGTAGGACCAGAGGCAGGAGGGCGAAATTGCGTCCCAGAAGGAGCGATCAAGGATGAGAGTAGACCGCCTTGGACTCGGCGGGGAGGAGAAAAGGCAGGGCCTAGCGGTGAAGATGCAGCAACTTGAATGACAGTATTGTTATGTCTTGAGTAGGGATGTTCAAGTAGTTGTGTTGGTTGGGTCAATCTTTGCGATGGAGTTGTCGCTGGGAGAGTTGCGATAGTTTCGTAGTCTTCGCCGGGAGGGGTACTCGGGATGGTTTTTATATCTCGAGGGGGGGTACTATTGATAGCTTCTTCCATTGCTCTCAATACAACAATGTCATTGAATCATCGACTCATCTAATTGTTCAGCGCTATTCAGGAACGTTTTTTCTGCCAAAGCGGACACGCGCCACCGGACGCGCCCAATCACGTGTGAGAGCCGTCAATTAAGCTGTGAATGAGAACAAAGAGGTGAGACATCTTGAGCAGTTAAGCCACATAGAGACGACTAAATCAGGCTCAGTTCTCAACTTGAATGAACAATGAACCGCAGGGAACAGAATCGGAATGAGACAATGAGACAATAAGGAGTCACATGGCATATACCTCAACCCACCAATCAAATGCCATATGACGGCGGGCACTAACCTTCTCTCCGCACTTGCGATAGCTTCAGCTCCTTTGTCTCTCTGACCTTCCCTTTTTCATCCTTGCCTTTGACTCACTTGGATATTGTTGCTCTCAAGAAACAAGGATGTCTTCCCGACGCCCCGACAACCAGTCCTACGCCGATGTTGCGGCGAAGCCTGAACCGCAAGGCACTTCCGACGTGGCCCCAGCTGTTCCTGCGTAAGATAATGACCTTAGAAGCTTAGATTGATTCTTGAAGACATATTCTTATTAGCTCTGGTATTTAGAGATGTGATCTACAAGCTCCTCGGCTTTACAGCTGCCATGATCGTTGGCCCTATTGGCATGTATTTCTTGACTGTGAATTCAATCTTCAGTGGTGAGTATTTCTGCTTCCGACTTGCAATGGCATATGCTGATTGAATCGATGTTATTCAGGGAGCTCGACACTTGCTGGAATCACCGCCGCCGTTACCGCCAACGCGGTCCTGTTCGCATATATCTATGTCGCCTGGACGGAAGACCAGGAGGATAGACAAGCAGCCAGCAAGCCAGATTCAAAGAAAGCCCAGTAGGTTGGATAAACCGGATCTGAAGAAAATCATTACTTTTCGGCGTTACGGCATTGTTCAGGTGGTTGGGGTTTCTGTTATGTATAATTGGGATGGAACAACTTCGGCCATCTAAGGACTCAATTGTAAAACTATACATTGACTGAGCTATTCATTTTACTGTTATATATCCCGGATATCCCAAGATACCAAGCCCCATACTTCGATGTCAAGCCATTAAAAAGCGCTGTTCATGTTGAAAGAACCGCATCTAGAGACGAGAAAGACCTCGACCCATGCTCCAGTATAGACAGATACGCCGATATGCATTGCAACAGAAATCACTCCCACATATTCCCATTCTCGGCTCCACATCCGCTTAGGTAGGTCTGCGCTTGACAAACTCCTCCAAGTCCGCCTTGGTAGCAACACCCAGCACAAACTTGCGCGCCTCATCAGTGACCACAGCAAACTGCTGCTTCTCGCGCTTCTCGCCATTCGGCCCCGTCTCGCTCTCGAAGAAGTTCTCGAGCTCCTCGAGCGGCGTGTTCATCGTGATGACCTGGTAGAGACCGCGTTTGCGGTTGAACCGCTGCATTGCCGCGGAGACGGGGTCGCTTTCTTTCACGGTGCCGCTCTGCAGTAGCTCACGTAGCCGTGGGATGCTGAGGTAGCCTAGCAGGGAGCGCTTTGTCGGGGAGATAACGGTGAGGTGCGTGTAGTCGCGCTCGTAGGCGGCCATTAGGGCTGTGGAGATTGGGTCTTCGGAGGAGATTGAGAGCGCCGCGGGAGGGTCGAGGTCTTCGATTGTTGCCTGTTTTTTGTTAGTTTGGGCCAGATGGTTGGATTGGGGGAGACGGACACCGCGGTACTTGTCGGCCCAGGCTGCTGTAGATGTATTTGTGTCGGAGGGGGTTTGCTTCTCGCGAGTGAAGGCCTCGCTGGCGGTCGAGTATGAAGCCATTTTGAGTTTGATCGGGATGAGGGGTTGGTGAGGGGCAGTGGATAAGTTGGAGAGTTGGAGGGTTGTTAAGAAGAAGTACAGGTAGCTGGAAAGTGGAGAATAATTGTCCAGGTGTAAATATTGAGAAGTCAAGTCAGGGTTCTCAGTAGGTATACCTAAATCGTGCAGGTCAAGAGCTTGCAACCTTGGGGATGACTTTTTGATGTCAAGCTTGGCATTAACTCCACTACGGAAGACGCTTGCGGCCACGGAGGCTATCAGATCTATATTTCTATTTTCTCTCTGCTTGCTTTTAATTGCAAAGTTAGCCCTAGAGTGTACTTCGATGATCAGAAGGGCATAAAGAAAAGTAGGAAATTACGGACTAAAGACGGCCTCTGGTCGGTATAACATCACCCACTATATATGAAGTATGTCCAGACCATAGGCAATTAAACATAGCATCAGGAAATGTTATAATAGATGCCCCGATCTAGAATGATAGAATCTACTTTGCGGAATATATTCCCATAAGTATATATACAAACGGGGTTCTCTCTTGGCCTAGGATTGTAATCCTGGCCAGGGGCATGGCATGTATACATGTTGTAGCATGTCAAAAGGCACAGACTACACGGAGATAGCTATAAGTACATTCAACCTCAGATAGCTGTTATTTAAAGCGTAAGAATTAATTTCCCCAGAGTACATATCAAGACTGAAGTCATACTCCTCACAAGTCCGGAGTACCCCGTATCCTTGTACCCCGCTAGCGCCACTTACAACCTCCGCACGTCATTGTCTTGGGATCTTGATTTCCCACCTCATCTCAATTATATTCAAAATCTCATACAGATTCAACAGGAAGAAACACATCAGTACACTCAAAACCCACCCTTTGGTGGAGATCACCGGATATCAAGCCGACTCCACTTATACCCACTACCCGAAGTACACCATGCTTCCGGACTGGATCAACGCTTTCGCCGCCCAGCATCCTCTGGGTGCCGTGAGCGATGCGAAGTCCGCGAAAAATAGACCGTTTACAGCTTGGAGTGCACTCGACGACGTGAAGACCAAGGCCGACGGCATTGCCAACGAGGCGAGCCGGGAATTCAATGTCGCAAGCCAGAAGGCTCAGCAGAAGACCGGCAAGATCCAGCCTGGCTCTCTGAAGTACTATGTAGCGTGCACATTTGGTGGAATGATGGCATGTGTCAGTAGCTTCTCTGTCTGAATTATGATCGCCAGATACTCACGCATATCAGGGCCTTACCCACACTGCCGTGACACCCCTCGACCTGATTAAATGTCGCCGCCAGGTCGATCCCAAGCTCTATAAGAGCAACCTACAAGCGTTCCACACTATACGTGCGGCTGAAGGTATTCGCGGTGTCTTTACGGGCTGGAGCCCTACGTTCTTCGGCTACAGTGTAAGCCTGGGTAACCTGTGGATCTTTTACCTTAATTATCTATACTGATGGTATACAGGCCCAAGGAGCTTTCAAGTATGGAGGATACGAGTACTTCAAGGTGTTCTACAGCGACCTGGTCGGCCAGGAGAACGCGAACCGGTTTAAGACTGCCATCTACCTGACAGCCAGTGCCTCGGCAGAGTTCATCGCAGATCTAGCGCTGTGTCCGTTCGAGTCTGTCAAGGTGCGTGGTCAGACTACCATTCCGCCTGAGATTACAGGTACTTTCAGTGGTATCTCGAGTGTTGTTGCCAAGGAGGGCGTTGCTGGGTGAGTTGACATATATCCTTTTGTTCTGGATCGAATCTATATACTGACCCTACCAGTCTGTACAAAGGTCTTTACCCGCTGTGGGGCCGTCAAGTCCCCTACACGATGATGAAGTTTGCTTCCTTCGAGACGATCGTTGAGATGATCTATCACAATCTGCCAGGCCAGAAGTCCGACTACAACAAGGGTGCACAGACTGCCGTTGCATTCACCGGCGGTTACCTCGCTGGTATTCTGTGTGCTGCGGTATCGCACCCTGCGGATGTCATGGTCAGCAAGTTGAACGCGAATCGACTGGCGGGTGAGGCATTCGGCGCTGCTATGAGCCGTATCTATGGTGATATTGGCTTCCGGGGATTGTGGAACGGACTGCCTGTTCGTATTGTAATGATTGGTACTTTGGTGAGTTGTTCATGTTCAATGTGGTCAAGCTGGTGCTAATTTATTCGTATAGACCGGACTCCAATGGATGATGTATGGTCTCGCTTTCTTTCGTTTGTGTGGATATATACTGACCCTGATTCTACAGCTACGATTCATTCAAGATTTTCATGGGACTTCCTACCACCGGTGGCTCAAGTGAAGACAAAAAGAAGTAAGGTGTCTGGTTTGATTCGGGTAGTGGTATGCACAGCTCCTTTATCCTTTACCATCTCGGCGGCTACTGCGATATTCTATCAAGTAATACATACTCTCTCTAGTTATCATCGTAATATAAAGTAACCGCCAAGCTCGCTATCGGCCAATTACAGTTTGTCAGTGGCCGCCTCTACCAATCGGAGGCCGATATCTTATCGTCCCTGCAGTTGTCGAATATAAAATGTCAATGTCGTTGAATAACATCCGAATGACATCCAACTTAGATAACTAGACAAGCGAAATAGGGGACCTCGGGAACCGTTTGGCTCATTTCACGACGAACCACCTCTATTGGCTGCGAATCCCTGTATTATCTATCCGATAGCTACCATCCAGGTGGATTATACTTAAAAAGATCTAGATCCCCCCGAAATCCACTTCTCTACATTCCCCGTACGACTTAAGAAACAGTAAGTTCACGTGGATTTCCCCGCCATCGCATCTGTACCTGCATGTATCGCCCCATCGATAAATATCTTCCCTGCCCCACCATTCTTCCTTTCGCATCTACCACCCCGCCTCTACTTGCAACGACACATCTACGAACCTGAACATCTATCTCTGACAGAAACTAGACAAGATGCCCGATAAGACAGAGGCCGAGGCATCCACATCCGACGCACCGATCGTCTCTCACGGCCGAGGAGGCAAGCACCCAAGTCTATGCGTCATCGCGCCCACCAACTAACAAGCTCGAATATTAGGTCAAGGCAACATCGGCAAGGATAACACTGAGTATGTCCCATCGCAGTCGCAGTCGCAACAAGCGACAAATACTAAATATCGAATAGATACGTCGATGGCGAGATCGTCCGCGAAGGAAACTACGGCGACCAAGGTGATGGCGCTTACTCTGCCGGCGTGAGTACTTACCTACCTACCTTCCTACCTACCTACCTACATCTATACTTTGAACACCCAAATCCATCTTTTAGCGATGTCCATACTGATACAACTCCAGCGAGGCGGCGCTGGAAATATCGGCTCCCCGATGATGCGCCCCACGTCCAAGGTTCCCCACGACACCGAGATGATCCCCGAGCTTGCGGTCCGCCACTCCACAGACGAAACTTTCCATATCGGGGTAAGCAGAGAGTTGTTTGCTTTGCTTTGCGTTTGATTTGATTTATGATTGATTATCCCGGGCTTATGGTTTCCCTTTCCGAATGCGGTTGTTTTTACTTTCTTTTTTTCCCTTCCTGCTTTTGGATTTCAGGCTGACTTTTTCGTAGCGTGGTGGACAGGGAAATGTTCATTCCGAGGATGCGACGAAGGGCAAGAAGAAGGTTGCCAATGAGGGATTGGCGGATAAGTTGAAGAATAAGTTGCTAGGACGGAAGTAGGGTAGGGCCTTTTCATCTTGTGCTTCTTTTGTGATTCCCAATTCTCGCGGTATCAATTAATTTCCGGGTTCATTCCGGATTTACTCTTTCTCTACCATGTTATATGTAGATACCAATCTCGAACAGTAAGATTGACGGATATCATGGGAGATAGCTATGTGGAGTAGATACAGATCAATATGAATAAGAAATTAAAAACGAAAACAAAATAATCAAAGAAACAAAATAAGTGCCAAATCCATGACGTGTCCCATGTGTCCATGCATCATAACCTCATTAGAGCATGCGATGAAAGAAGTGAAGAAGCAAAAAAAAGAAGTAATAAACACAACCCACATCCATAAACAAATAGAAACGCCAGTCTGCAGATTCCCAAACAAAAGGAGAAAAGAAAATGAAGTGTCCAGATATATCAATCTCACATGGACATTCTTTATTTATCCTTGCTGAACCGGCGTTTGAACCAGCTCTTTCTTTTATCCGCTTTCTCACCCTTCTTGCTGACAGTCGATTGTGTGGTGGAGATCGGGACACCTCCAACGGGTCCGCCCATGGTCGGGTCGCGGATGGGCTGGACAGGGGGTGCCTTGGAGTTGAACCCGTTGAACCCGTACTCGGCTTGGGACCGCTCGTCCAGACGCTGTTGCTGCAGAGCCTGCTGCTGCAATTGGTCGTTGGAGCTGTTGATCGAGCTGGGGTCGGTGGACTGGCCGTAGTCTGTGGTGCCGGAATTGTTCGACATGGCCGCGATGTTGTCGCGCGACCGTTGGTAGCCGTATTGCGAGCCGGCGATGTTGGGGTAGCCCTCGGAGGGGCTGATGGGCGACGAGGGTGACCCGCGGGGATGGTGCGAGGGACGTCTTCTGCCGTTTTGGCTATATCCGTTCTGATTATATCCCTGGTTATAGGGGACAGAACCCTCGGGTGAGAGAGGCGTGTTTTGGTACGCGTTCACGATGCTGTCTGGTCGCGATTGGCCGTAGTAGCTGTTGGATGGACCATTTGGACCTGGGAAGGTTAGAAGGGATCGAAGATGGGATTGAAGATGGGAGAGATAGCATACTTCCGTAGTAGCTGGTCCGTCGGCTGAAGTCGCCCATTTGTGACGCATCCTCTATCGAATAATCAGCCTACATTCATTGTGACTTTCCACAGTGCCAATACCTGTTCTAGCATATGACGCACGGTTATTGATACTTGTGCCGTAGATAGCAGCCTCAAACGATCGAATGGTATCCAAGGGGCGTTCCAGACGCGGCCGAGTGGGATTTGACAGGTCGGGATCGGCTGAACGAAGTAAGGAGTTAGGAGACAGTCCCAGGGAGGAAAGATTGCCAGTGATACGGACTGATAACATTGCCATATTGATCCTTGAATTCAAGCTCGCGCAGTGAGCCCAGATTGGACTTTTGCAAGGCCACGGCCACTATTGTGGTGTCAGTTGAAGTAAAATGGGACATGGGAAATGCGAGGTGCGAGGTGCGAGGTGCGAGGAAATGCGACCGGGCCAACAAGGTGGTAAACATACTAGGCTGAAGCTCGTTCATGGCGATAAGTGGATCTGCTTTGGTATGTAGATTGCGACGAGATTTCTCTTCTGAAGACTCCGAGGGACCACGTTTATGGCTTGTTGATCCGGACTTGTCTGACTTGTCGGATTTCACACTGAACCCACGACTCCTCTGGGGAGTGGGAGATTGGGGGGAGTCCATTTTATTAGGGGCAGTTCGGTCTTTCTTAGCGTCCGCGATTCAAGGAATGTCTGAAACGGTTGTGATCTACCACCGAGAGTGGAGCGTGGGAACTGCCAAGAATATCACGATTCAGCTGTAGATTGAATGACGGTGAGGCTGGTCACTAGCTGAAACGATCGACACGATGGGATGAGTGGTGAAGGAGCAGACTGGGAGATTGGATTGTGCGTGTGATTGCGGTGATTGGTGATTTCGGTGTTTGTGATGATTTCGGTGGTCTTAGTGATTCTAGTAGCCCAAGTGATATGGGGTGTGAACTGTCAAAAGAGTGGAGCAAATGAATTACACGAGTTCAAGAGTACAGGGGACAGAGAAGCAGCGAGAGTAGAGTGAAACTGTAGAATTGCAGAGAAAAAAAAGCGAAGATATTTCCAAAGTTTTCCAAAGAGGCGAAAGGGAAATGGACGGTTTTTATCGGTGGACCACGCAATCCCAAGGTCTACTGGTACTTTTCGAGTGGGTTTTCGTTTTTTTATGCATAAGCAGGTTATTGCGGTTTTATTTTAGTTTATTCAGTGGGTAGATCTAGAATACTGAGAAGACTGAGTTGGCTATATGATAGTGGCATACATAGTACTTATTAGCTGTCTTATACAACATACACATCCTATTGACTATGATCCAAGACATAATATAATACGTGCAACACTCCAATATAATCCCCAGACTCCATAAAATACATACTTAGGCTTCCTCCATACCAAGACCAGCCCAAGACCTTCATAAAAAGTCTCACCTTTTGTATTTGACTTTCTCTTTGGCTTTCATTCCCTTTATTCTCTTCTTCCCTTTCTCCAGCCTTTCTAGAAACTCATACCGCGTGGTACATCCGGGCTATTCCAATTGGTCTGCTCTTAGAATGCAGTATGCTGTCCTTGTATGCATTCCTTATGAACACCCTCCGTTGTGCAAACCTTAGATTTGAGCGAATGCTAATGAATGCCTACAATGAATGCCCGAGTATAAAACCTGAAACCTCACCTGTTCACCAACCTCGGGCCTGAATTTCTAGATCGGAGGCCTATTTTTAGGAAACCCACACGGGCCAACGGTCCGTGGTTTCTTACTCGACGCGCAAGACGATCCCGAGGCACTCCAGGCTGACATGAGTCACATTCTGAAGTGATAGACCGTTGAGTTATAAATAAAAAGCAGAGATTTCCACGTCAAGGGTTTCAATATGAGGCTGGGGTAAGTCAAGGTCACGGTCTCGGTCACGGATTATGCACAGCCACGGCATAAATATCGGCACGGGATTAATGCATCCATCACTTCTACTAAACAATCACCATTCCTGATTCTGCACAATAACAGAAGGACCAACATATTCCTTCCGGCCCTTGACAACATACATCCCAAGGCTGACGATAAAAACCCCAACAAAGATAACCACACTCCAATTAAAGTTCTCCAGAGTGACGTCGGCATCCCCGGGCCACAACGACCAGAAGAACGCGAAACAGCAGTAAAACAGCCCAATAATATTAACCGCCAGTCCCCACCGTCCCATATCCCACCGACGCGGCGGCAGGGTATCAGGATACCAGATCTTGCGGTAGATCACGCAGCTAATCGATGTAATATACGTGTACATCAGCGCCGCCACGTTGAGCGAGATAATAGCGTTGAACGCAGTCTCGGAGCCGATATTGATAAGCGATAACGCGCAGCTGATGACGCAGGACAGCGCGATGGCATTCACAGGGATCTGCCGCTGGGCATCCACTTTGCCGATCCATTTCGCGAATGGGAGGCCCTGGTCGCGGGCAAAGGCGAAGGTCTGTCGGGAGGTGGAGGCGTTGAAGAGGATGTTGCTGAAGATCACGGGGAGGATGATAATCGCCGTGAGTCCATTGGTTCCGGCGATAGACGTTGCCTTCTGGAAGACATACAGGAATGGGAATCCCGTGGCGTCGTTTAACGAGTCTTCGACCGACGGCGTGGCGAAGAGATAGGTGATGATCATGACGATCGCCATGAGGCCGTTACTAAAGTAGCCCCAGGCCATGGCGATCGGCACGTATCGAGCGGCGTCTTTGACCTCTTCGGACATGTGGGCCGTTGCGTCGGAGCCTATTTTGACTTAGTATCAGGTTGGAGTCTGGGCTACGGGCTTGCAGACATACTCAGAGAGCCGTAGATAGCTGAGATCTGTCCCACCATCACGCTCAGTCCCATCGTAGACCAACCGCCGTAATTCTTCCACTGCGTCACGAACACCGCTTCGGCGGATTGGTGCGGAGCCATCACCCACAGGACGATTATAATAACCGCCCACGATACAACGTGGAGAATCATCAGTAAATTATTCAGTACGGGCATCACGTCAGATCCGTACACATTGACGATATAAATCACCAATACCATCGCAAAGACGAAGAGCGTGCCCTGCCAGCCCTGCGGATCGTAATCCGGGTTCCGCACGCTGATCAGTCCCTGGATGATAGTTCCAGTGAGGAATGAGCCAGAGGCTGCGCCAGCTTGCCATGCTAATACTGACATCCAGCCTATAGAATAATAACACTAGTCAGACAAAACAACATCCAACTAGAGCAAACAAACAGACCGGTAATATAACTCAGGAACTTCTGGTATCGAGGCGAAGACCACTCCGAAACCCAGTGATACTGCCCGCCAGAAGTCGGAGCCATAGATGCCATTTCAGAGATCGAGGCGATGATGAATCCGAATCCAATGAATGTCCATAGATAGGAGTAGAAGAGACCTGGTAAGCCTCCATTATACAACCCTTCGTAATTAGAGCTGAATACAGCACGAATCAGAGATGTAAATAGACATAATCTTGTAGTATGATATTCATACTCACATAAGAATAAACTCCCACGTCGCTTGCAAAACCGACGCAAAACTCAAAGCTGCCACAGGTCGCATGTTTCTCTTGATAATGTCAGACATATATCAACGCCGTGAAACGTATACATACCTTGAACTCCTGCGCCTTTCCCATCCGCTGCATGTCAATGTCGTCGACACCTGCGCCTGCCTTTAAGTCATGCTCTGAAAAAGCATCGCGCTCTACAGCTTGCACCTCCTGGTCCTGCATTTCTAGCCCAGGTGCTTTGGTCATGGCGATGGATAACCTAACCAGCGATTGAGCGGGGGAGAAATAGAAATAAATAGGGTAAAATCTAAAATCTAGGGGAACTAGAACAAATAACTAACTACCAAGGCATATATCCCACATTCCCCGAATAAAAGTACGGAGTATTGGCCGACATCCAGACGCCTGCAGGGCTTATCGTGAGGCTAGTCTCTAGGGCTTCGTGCGGAGTGGATCCTTTGGCTGCAACTGGCCCGTCTGGGTGCTCCGACTGTTGTTGATTCTTTGTTCACATATGTAGGAATGATATTTGCTTTTATTGAATACGAGAAATGCTCTCAATTTTCCGTAACGAAAAAAGACCGTGGATCTCGGTATCTAGTGCAAGGGGAGGGTGTACAATGTAGGGCTGTAGGGAAAGTGCATCGACCTCCCTTGCGCGATGACTATGTGGGGAATACGCGCGCCGCAGTTAATTTGTGCAAAGTATATACATGTACATAGGTAGTCATTTCTGGCGAGGATGATAGGATATTACTCTCGCATGGATAAGAAGATGCGATAGTCTCTAGTCTGCTCTTTTTCCTTCGGGCTAGGGCTTACAGCTACTAATATGAGCACATCGGAGACATTGAGTTTAAGATTGATACAACAGGGATAGAGCTGGTATACGTCTAATTTCCATACGTGCATACAAGCTCTATAGCCGGATGGATAGCCCCTGTACAATATCAGACCCGTATGCTGTACATATCAAGCATTACGGGCGCATACCCTGGTCACACCTTAATGCAGACTGATATTGGTGGCTTTTAGATTAAAAGTTAATTTGAACTTCGTATTGAATGGTCTTACGTAGGAAATAATACCGCCATCTAGTTAGATCGATTCATGCGTAGGATATATTCCAATCTATTCTACGTCTCAATCGCTCTATAATTGCTTTGCTAATCATTATAGAAATCTGGAGAAATTCAAATAAAGCCGATCGGCTAGGCCGTCCCAGTTTGTCTGGAAAGGTTCATATATTTTTATACATAATGCATATGCTCGGCGTTGAGTAGGAGCATGAGGGGTATCTTGTCTATCTATTAAATAAAAACGTGGGTTCCCGGGTTGAATCCGGAGAACATGCAAATCGAAGAATCAAATGACTCAATTCGAGCGACGCGCTTAAGCAGTTGCCTCGTCGGCTATTTTGGACGGGACGTCCTCCACGGTGACCTGCACCTCGTGGCTGTGTTCCAATTCCGACAGGACAATCCACGTGGGAACGAACGCGATAACCGTGATTCCAAAGTTGAGACCGATGCTGACGAAGTGGTTGGCGCCGCCTTCGGTCTGCATGGCCCATGCGACGGTCTGTCCCAGAGCCTCGAATCCACGCAGGATACCGCAGTGGTAGGATAACGATGAGATGTCGGTGCTGTACTGGCCGACCAGCCAGTAGAGGAATTGCTGGAAGGCTTGGCCGCTGAAGGTCCAGAAGAAGATCAGCGCGTACGCTTTGTTGAAGCCCGGTGTGAACCAGTCGAACACCGGGGACTCGGGTAGGTCGTAGAACTGCTTCTGTAGGATAGTAGCCCAGATCCAGGTGCCGATGATCAGGGCAACGACGGAGCAGAATGCAATTCTGGCGCGGGTCTTGATGAAGATGGTCTGGCGATCAAGCAGCAGCGCCATGATGAACGAAGACGCGATTCCGGCGAAGTTGGTGAGGAAAGATGAGAATGCGCGAGATCGCACGGTGAAGTAGGTGGTCAGCCAGGTGCTCTGGAAGCCGTTGTAGAAGTAACTGATGAAGAAGGCTGGCAGGAGGAGGAGCACACGGCGAGTGAAGATCAGAGAAAAGGCAGCCTTGAATTCCTTGGCCCAACTCTCTTTCATGTTCACAACCACAAGAGAGTGGTCCTTGCGCTGCACCTTCTCGGCAGGACTGAGTAGGAGCGAAATGGGCAGACCGAGGCACATAATGACAATGAAGACGATATAAGTCGAAGCGCTGATCGTTCCCTTTCCGGCCGTCTGTGCGTTCAGTCCCAGACTGATTGCACCACCGACGATCGGACCAGAAGATTTCGCGGTCTGCCAGACAGCGATGTAGAAAGCGCGCTCCTTGGGACTGGGATAACCAATGATAATAGCGGCCTCGGCAGCCCAGAAAAATCCCGCTGAGATACCGCACAGGGCGGAGCCGAAGAGCATGAACCATGTCGTGGTGTGGTATGTGTTGGTGTACAGACCGGCACCATAGATCGGGTAACCGATCGCACCGAGAACTAGACCGTAGCGTAGACCAATACGGTTGTTGATTGCACCAGCGGCGATACAAACAACGGCAAATAATCCGTAGACCAAAGCGTTCGCCGCGGAAACAGCGTAGGGCTCGGCTGCACCACCTGCTCCGAGGTTGTTCAGTGCATCCCACATTCCAGGGGCAGTGAATGAGACACCACTAGCCACGGCGATCTGGAAGGGGATAGAGCGGTACCATGAAGTCCGAGACCTGGTGATAGTTTGAGAGTCATCTTGGACTTGCTCAGAAACGACTTCTGACGCGACAGGAGGGGCCATTGTAAATGTATGCCCTCTCAAGAGTCTTTTTCTTGTATACAATATAACAATAAAGAAAAAAGAACGAGGACCTGGCGAGGAAGTTATATAAAAATTTGAAGAATCAAGGTGGATCCGCTATATGTCGTGCTTGATGCCAAGATATTCCAAAACAGCAAAAGCAGAATCTTTGACACATCGCAACGTCCTGATCACCGGGTTTTGACTAGCTTCGGAATTTGGACAGCAACCCTGTGGAGTGGCGTGACAGGTTGTGCAATTTCCAGCTCAGAGGCCATTTTCTTGTATTGCATATAAGGCAGTTCCATCCTCACACATTGGACAACAATCGCTCTTTTCGCGCGTCGCGATTTGCCAGAAAGGCGATCAGGCCAACACTCAGGAATTGTGCGACAGTGATGACCAAATTCGAGATGAATCCCGCTCGAAAGTCTGGGGCAGAAACAGCCGGATACTGAAATATCTGTGTCCATGCTGCCATGGCCTGGCCGATTGCATTCATGCTTGCCGTGACGATAGCGCGTTCTTCGGCATCCTTGGCCATGGTGATAGTCGCCCAACTCATACTGAGCGGACTAATTGCTGTGGAAGATTTAGTATCGTTTTTGATGCTAGAAATAACAGACCAGAGCCTGTATCTGAATCCACATACCGCCCTCGAATCCCGTGAGGATAAATCCCGCCAGTCGCCCCGTTTCGCCGACATTATAAACAACGAGCAAAATCACACCAACCAGGACGGGAATGCTGGTCGCCACCGAAGGAATCCAAAAGTTTCGCAGGCGATCGGCGGTAACGCCTGCTACTAGTGCGGCTACGACAGACAACGCCGTTGCGATTGTCGGCAATGTGTTCACCCGTGAGACGGAGTAGATGTCTGGTTTGGCCTTGAGATATAGGCTAAATGGCGTCGAATATGGCGTGAAGTTCTGGTCCATTAAAGTCCAATGCAGGACAAAGACATACCAATGCCATCGTCCGAAGACTCGCTTGAAGATGGCCCGGGAGACTTTCAGCTCACTCGGCGCTGTTAGACCTTTCAGACGAATATTGGCAATATCGTGCTCGGTCGCAGTTAGGAACCGTGGCTTTGCGCGGTGAGGAACATCTGGGAAAACGATATATCCACTGATCTGTGTTAGACGAACAGTGAACAGCCTCGGAATAGGGTTCTTACAGAATGCAAATAGGAATTGTGATAATAGTGCAAATAATGAACAGCCACCTGCAACTGGTAAGTATCAATAACATCACATATAATTAGAGTCAAACCTCCACCCAGGCAATCCATGCCTCCCCTCCAAATTCGTATAGGCAGCAGCCTGCAAGTATCCCGCGAACATAGTCCCGAGTGGAGAAGCGATAAAGAAAAGCGCAACCCGCCGCGTCACCTCCCCGGGCTTATACCACGAGCCGATGACATAGATGACGCCGGTGAAAGAGCAAGACTCGCAGATCCCGATGAAGAAGCGCATTGCGTATATCGTATTTAGATTCTGCGCCCACGCACAGCCGAATGTGAATAGTCCCCATCCTATTTCCAGAGTCGGCAAGGCAATGTTGATCTGCGTGCGCGTTAGGTAGTAGCAGGCCGGTATCATGGATGTGCAATACGAGGCCCAGAATACCGCGGTTATGTAGTTCAATTCGTTGCCGTGCAGATTGAGGTCTTCTTTCATGCCTCTATTAGGTGTTAGTAAGGGGAGTCTGTTACACTGAGGGTGTGACATACGACACATAGGCATTAGTGATCGCCTGCTGGTCAAGGTATTTGGTAAAAAATGAAAGGCAGCCGAAGATTAGAATCATGATATCCAGTTTGAGGACCAGCTTTTTCTCCGGGTGTGGCATGTCCTTTGGATACCACTTGGTATACGTAAGGAACCGGAGCCATAGTCCATCCTGTAGCTCTGTATTGGGTTGGAATTCATGGTCGGATACCTCATGGATCGACTTGGTACCAATTGCGCGTACGTTCTCCATATTTGAGTATATTTGAGTCGTTTGAACTTCGTACGGGATGTACAGCTGGAAGCAATTATCCAAGCTGACCCTCTGTGGTCATTTCGGTTGTGCAAGCCTCGATAATGGAAGATGCGACGATTATCACGCCTGATGGTGTCATCTGTCATCTCCGCTGCTTCATACTGCGGAGAAATTGCGAATCGCGGAGACTGGCCGAGTCTGATATGCATACCTCTCGTTAGTGACTTGGGAAATTGAAACTAGCTTATCTTGAATGATCAAATTCATCATTAAGAACGAAAGATTGTGATGTTCCAGAGGTTGAGGGCCCGGGCCCTAAGTATCGAATATAGAATGAAGATGAATTCCTGAACTGCTCAGAACTGACATGATGTGTAACGCTTGATGTGTATCGATGTGAAGTGAAAACCCCTAAAAAATAAATGCTCATAATCATACAATGTACACCCCTTCCTCAACTCCTAATGTCGATCTTGTACTCCTCGGCCCAGAATGTGACATTGTGGTCCACAGAGTAGGTTTCGGTTCCGAAACTGAGACTGCCAAGGTAGTCGTCTTTAGCCGGGTAGGTACTTCCTTCCAAGTTGTACAGATCGGTGATGAGAGGATAAATGTCTCCAGTAAACCTCTCAAGGATCGTGTCCGCGACCCAGGACAAGACTAGCTGTCCATTGTCATTTTGACCGGTGTAAAGCGTGCTGATATCATGTTAGCGTATGATATATCAGGTACAGTTCAACTTTCAACTCACAATTTCGTTCCTTCCAAGGTTCTGTTAATCACTGGGCTCCCCCAACCATGGGGTTGAGCTATCTCGTTTGACATCCAGAACCAAACCATGACCTCGAATTTCGCATTAGTTTCGTTCTTGGCTTTGTCGGCATCGGTATCCAAGAACATATCAATGGCGACGTTAGTGGCAAGGGTTTCAGCTGCCAACGCTTCTACATCTGTTGATTCGGCGATCTCGTCACCCACTCCATATGTCCAATGCAGGTCAAGATATAATTCGGAGATCGTGTCCATCGCTTTTGGCAACACATCATCGACGCGAATATTGGGGTATCCGTGGACAGGCGCAGTCTCTGGGCCAGGGTCGAATTGCCAGGTGATGGAGAACTCGGGAGCGGTCTGGGTTGGATAAGTCTCGTTGACGAATGTCGTGACCTAGATCAGATGATACATTAGTACGTCCGCTGTAGAAGTGCAGATGGATGTTCGATGCGTACATTCATGCAGAGCCCGTTTCCTGTTGATGTTGATGTCACACCCCATTGATTTGGGTTCACTGTAATCTCTGTCAGTCGTCGTTCAAGTCAACAGCGCCTGCGCTGGTAATCCAAGAGCACTAACGCGTGTATTGTTCGGATTTCGACGGTGGACTGATTCCGATTGAACGATTGCAGTACTGGGTGCTCGACACGCCATTGTTCGTGACAGTGTGATGGCCACCACCGCCGCCGCCAGTACTGTCGCTGCCAGAGTTGCCGCCAGAGCTGCCGCCGCCAGTGCTGATGCCATCGTCAGTGTCCCCCCCGGTGAATAGAGGTTTCTGACCATTCGCTGCTCGGTGGGCATCAATACCCATTAGAGCTCCAACGCATCCCCCAACTGGGATGCCCACCAGGACCGCATTGACCAGTAGTCCTAACGCGACGACCATGACCAAAAACGAGAGTGGTATCAAGCAAGAAACTAAGCGAGAGTGCAAATGATAAAGGAAAAGCGAGCAGCAAGTACGGAGTACAGCGAGTTAGCAGCTGAAATTCTCGGCCTCACATCGGAAGATGTGAACGGGTGGATGGAGATGCATCCGGTTAGTCTGTCTAGGGCGATCGAGAACTAAGCGTTGACCACACAAATCTTGTTGATAAGAAAAGGGCCCTGAGTGGGGTAAGTCCAGGTAAGCGTGGTAATGATGTGCTCATGACTTGTATATTACGGGGGGATTCAGGTACAATCAGGACGATCTGGTACTTCAGGTACAGCAGGTACAGTCTGGTACAGCAGGTACGGAACCACATCATTTACCGATGGCACTTTTACTGCATTTGAATTTATCATTGGTTCAGTTCAGTGGCAAATTTATAGATGAAAACATGGAACCATGGCTAGAATTGCTAAAATTACCGAAAAAAGAAAATAGATTATTTAAAGACCCACTTTGATGCAAGCAAAAATTACCACAAACTCAAACCCCGTATGTAAGAACCTAAAGCTCAGTGAAACTTACGTTGAAAATTTCACCAGAATCTATTTTTGCGGCTCGGGCCTAAAGCGGCCATGCACCTCGGTCCTTGGCATGCACTAGTCCCAGGGCTTAACCAGCTGGTCCCTTAGAGATCGCTGGTTTCGTATTCTTCTTTACTAGGAATGTGAGACTTTTTCTCTTCCATCCTTCCATTCCAGCTCTTCGGGCTGATCACACTCGTTTTCGACGTTTCTATCCCTTCCAACGCTTTCAATATACATTCTTCGCCTTTTTGACTTTACATAATCTATAGCCTTTCTGTCGAAATGGACAGGCGTGGTGGTCATGACGAGGACGAAAAGGTAGAACTGAATGCCTATCCTGCCAACCATTCAAACCACAGCTTCGAATCTCAGCCTTTTTCACCCTCACCAGTAACTCCAAGGCCTCTCACTCCAGTCAGACCGGGTCATTTCCCTACCGATGAATACGGGCAACCCGTTTGGCTTCAACCCACCGCTCGAATGTCGGGCAACTCCGATTCCTTTCACAACTCCTCCTGGGACCTACGAACGCCGTATGATTCCCGGTCGGCTTCACCCACTCTAGTTAGTACAGTCCGTCTTTGTTTCTTTGGTCTCTTTGTTGTCGGTATAGATCCAGCCTAACCGGTTTCCCATACAGTATCAAAACAATGGAGTGCAAGAAAGCCACCAGAGTCTAGCTCCCCTAGTGAGCTCCCCGGCTCCCCCGGGATTTGCAAAGGATTGGGTCAAGTCTGGATCGATTGCTCGAATTAACGACCGTGATGATGCGGATACATGGAAAGGGTGGAAGAGATGGGTATTTGCCCTGGTACCGTTTCTCACATTCGCCAACACCGGAATCTACTTGTTCTACCTCGGGCTGAGAATTGCCTGCATTATCATGGCTCAAAATGTTTCTGGAGTTTCATATGCCGGAGCTTGGGTTTTTGTGGCTATCGAGATCACTGTTGCAATCCCCTCCCTCATGCACAACTGTTGGACTATGATGGCGTTGAAGAAGAGAGGCCGTGCCAAGCTGAGATTGACCGGCAATGACTGTCCGACAGTGGATGTGTTTATTACCTGCTGTGGAGAGGATGATGAAGTGGTCCTCGATACTGTCCGTGGTGCGTGTGACCAGGACTACCCTCCCGACCAGATGAGGGTTATCATCTTGGACGACGCCAAGTCTGCCACCCTCGAGGCTGGCTGCAACCAACTCGCTGTGAATCACCCCAACATCATTTACATGGCTCGTGAAAAGATCCCCGGAAAACCCCACCACTTCAAGGCAGGTAATCTGAACTACGGTCTGGAGCAGGTCACCCTTTTGCCTGGAGGCGCCGGCCAGTTCATGGCCGCCCTGGACGCTGATATGGTAAGTTACAGGTCCCGGCCTACGTTGAAATTGAAATTCCTGTACTGATTGACAATCTGCAGATTCCTGAACAAGAGTGGCTTCGTGCGATTCTTCCCCACTTGTTGGTGGATCCCAAAATGGCCCTTGCATGCCCGCCGCAGCTTTTCTACAATACCCCTGCATCCGACCCGCTTGCCCAGAGTTTGGATTTCTTCGTGCATGTTATTGAGCCGATCAAGGATGCCCTCGGTGTGGCTTGGTGCACTGGATCTGGTTACGTCGTTCGACGCGAGGCGCTCGAAGAGATTGGCAACTTCCCGCTCGGTTCCTTGGCTGAAGATGTCGCGACCTCCACACTCATGCTTGGCAAAGGATGGAAAACCGCATACATCCACGAGCCGCTTCAATTTGGTACCGTGCCGGAAGACTTTGGTGGACATCTCAAGCAGCGTACGCGATGGGCAATTGGAACCGTCGACACCGCTGCCAAGCTGAAGTTCTGTCTCTGGGGTGACGCCGTTCGACAGATGACCGCTGCTCAACGATTCTCCGGCTTCCTCTATGCAACTCTCAGTGTCTATACCCTCCTGCTCACCGCTTCCCTCTTTGCTATCCCGATCATCCTCTTGTGGGGCAAGCGCCTTGTCGCCTTTGCGACAGAAGAGCAACTCCGCTGGCTGATCTGGTCCTGCTTCGCCGCCACTATCTCCAACCGTCTGTGCGAACTGGCCCTGTTCATCCCGGCGGGCTATAACACCGGCCAGCGAGGCTCCCGCTATCAACTTTGGATGTCACCCTATATCGCTCTCTGTATTGTGCGCGCCTTCATCCTCCCCACCTGGCTGGGCGGTCAAACCCAAGCCTTCAAGCCCACTGGTTCGCTGGGCTCAGCTCTGAACGAGCGCGACCCGAACAAGTCCAAGAACATGTTCGTCCGCCTGCGCGTGATCTTACTCAACTACATGGCCAGCTTCCACCTTGCCTTTGTCTACGTCACCCTCATCGGAGTCGTCATCTCCTCTTACCGCTGTTTCGCCCAGAACAGTGGCTTCCGAGATATCATCCTCTGCCTCATCACGCATGCTTTCTGGCCTCCACTGACCTTCCTTTTCATTTGCACTTCGCTGTGGACCCCGGTCTCGTATGCGATCGACCCGCCACGCATGCCGGAGCGTGAAGAACTCCTTACACGTGACCCTAAGACTGGTGTGGCGCACCCGACGAAGAAGAGTAAAAAGATCGCCTTCGGTGGCCAGGCCGCTTGGTTCGAGCTTGAATACACGGTTGCCACCGTGGTCACAATTTTGGTCTTCATCTACTCGTTTATGTTCTAATTTTAAGATTTCCTAGTTTGGAAATCTGTCTGCATAGCTAACGTGTCACATGCTTCAATCCCGATCCTTTATCTTATATGTATCTATCTACACCTGGGGAATGGCGTTTAAGCTTTGTGTCTTTCCGGTGTACAACTACTCTGCATATTCGATCTTCGTTATACATGAATACATATGTTGATCAACTCCAAAATGACTTATCGCCGGGGCTGTGTAGTACTCCATGCATAAATAGTCGATACGTACGGAGTACAGCCTTCTACATGCCCCTTTCGGCCAATCACCTCCAGATTGGTCTAAGCGCTGGATTTAATTTCGGACCAACGCGGGTTGGCTATCTGAGACTTTGACTTGCCTTCAGCCAAATGCGCCAATCCGCGATATTAATTAATTCTGCATTGAGGCCTGATAGCCCATTTGCCGTGTCAACGGTTATTTACTCCCTGCTTTATTGCTTATCTAGTGCTATTGATTGCCCACGCGTCTTGATCTGCCATTTATTGGACATGTTCTTTTTATAGTCTGCGCGTCACCGCTATTCTGCTGACGTTGCTTAGCCAGAGCCTGTGCAGAGAGCGACATAACGTTGAAAGCTTGACTCAAAAGTGAGACAGATAATTATTTGGACTTCCTCTTCATTTAATATTAATATCGAAAGATACAAGGGTTTGTTACTAGCTCAGACGGTCGTCCTGAGACTTGGTCTTTATTGGCCACTGATTCTCTCGCCCTGAAACAACTTCTTGGCGAAAGAATCCTCATGAATCTTTTCTCTTTCTGAATCTTCGTCAATAATTAGCCAGGTTCCATCGAGGAACCTTTGTTGATCCCACAATGAATCATCGATGATGTTGGTTCGCTTGCAAGCCTCGCAAAAGCCGACCTTGAAGGATCGTGACCTGCTAGTTCTAGGTCTAGTTCTAGTCTGGCGGCAATGCCGGAATGAGTCATACGTTTAAATGTGGCCATCGCCATTGGCCAATGTGGCAATGTCCGCAGTCTTCTCTCGTGGCTCTCATACCCCAGATTCCAACTCATGGACAAACACTTCCATTTAAGGTATGTCTAAACCGCCGGCGTTGATCGGATTAACCCCGAACCGCTGACGGGTCGGGACTTTATCAGCTGCCCGTCTTGCCAGTAGTCCAGGACTCTTTGTGAAGGGAGACGCCTTTGATAGGCTTCAGCCACTCGGTCCGGTTTCCACCCCGGTCACCTGATCGGTTTTTAGGTATATCTCCCGCAGGGAATGGCTATCTGAATACAATCAGCCTCCAGCCATGTCACCGGGCTCGGATTCGAAGGTCGAGATCCGGTTATGCGGCGGATTGGATTGGTCCACGCTTCGGAATCCATGAGATAGTTGCGATTGCGATGGCTATATAGAAGAGCAGACGTCTCCGTCTTTGGATTTAGTTATAGCAACGCAATCACAACAGTTTTACTATCCAACTATCATCTCTTTCGAATTGTATTCACAATGTCCTTCCTAAGGAACTACTTCGGTACCTCCGCTGTCCCGGCGAAGGAAGAGAAGAAGCCCATCCGTGCCTTGCCCGCCTCCTGGTACACATCGCCGGAGATGTACGAGCTCGAACGACGCTCCATCTTCTCCCGAAAGTGGCTTCTCACCACACACAAGCACCGAGTCCCCAAGAACGGCGACAGTATCACATATGACGCCGCGGGCTACGAGTTCGTCGTCGCCAAAGACAACAACGGTAACATCATTGCATACCACAGCAACGACCTCTTCCCCGCGCATGTGCACATCGATCTAAACGGATTCGTCTGGGTGAACCTGGATGCCAGCGAAACCCCTGAGGTCGCCTGGAAAGACGACTTCGAGGGCGTCGATGAGCAGCCCCGGTTCAAGCAATACAACTTCGAGGACTACTCCTTCGATCACACTTGGGATATGGCGGGCGATTTCAACTGGAAGATCCTGGCAGACAACTACAACGAGTGCTACCACTGCCAGGTCGCGCACCCCGACATCCCTACCATCGCCGATCTCAACTCCTACTATGTCAAGACCAAGGACGGCCACATCCAGCACTACGGCGCCCAGCGACCTGACCAGGTGGCCAAGGGTTTCAACATTGCAGTTACCTACTTCTGGCCGAACGCTTCTTTCAATATCTCGTGAGTATAGGATAATATCCCTATATTATAATAAACACTAACATTAAACTCCTAGTCCCAATTTCTTCTTCATGCAGCGATTCACCCCGACCAGCCCGACTCAATGTGTAATGCGCTACGAGGTCTACCGTCACAAGGACGCCACCGACGAGAACTTCAACCTCATCAGCGACATCTACAAGCGCATCATGTCGGAGGACAAGTACCTGTGCATGCACACGCAGAAGAACCTCAACACTGGTGTCTTTGTCAACGGCCAGCTTCACCCCGAGATGGAGAAGGGTCCACTTCATTTCCAGAAGACTGTTCGTGATGTTGTTACGGAACACTTTGCTAAGGAGGAGGCTGCGGGTCATCAGATCTGGCCTGCGAAGCATGATCTTCCTGTCGGCCAGGAGCAGGATAATGCTTTCCGTACTGGTGTGTCTGACTACAAGGTCGATACTTTCAAGAACTCTATGGGTTCTGGGCTCTCTACGGTAACGGCGATTGCTGTATAGAGCTGGTGGGTCGAATAGAGATGTTTATTGTATATAGTTTGATATTGCGTCGCATTGTGTTGATGATAATGATTGTGAATGGTTTTCTTTTGGAATTCAGCCTTAACAGAATGGATATTTCGATGTTTTGATATATCTTTGACCTCCAAGTCTGATAATGACCAGCCTATACTGACCAACTTGGACCGTAGCAAGTGTATGAACAGAACTGTAACCAACAAACTATTCTAATCAAATTATCCCGCTAACATTACATTCATTTATACATATACATTCTCCCAAACCCAATCACTCAACCCAATCAACAAGGAATTCATCCAACAAATCATAATTAGTCCTCTCCCTCTCCCTCCGTCCCCGAAGAAGATCAGCAGCAATATCAAACTTGGGCTCAGGTCTAGAGCCCTCCTTCTCCGGCGACGAAGCCCGACTGGGAACATTTATATGTCGAACGACATCAGTGTTCCCTTCAACAGGCTTAGTACTGGGCATCCCAGACTCAGAATCTACCAAATCAACCTCAACCCCAGTCTGCCTCTCAGCATCATGTACTTCACGCCCATCGACTCCCACAGCCTTGACACCAAGCAGCGACGAGCCACGCCCAGTCGTCCGCCTAGGATAATGATACGGCTCCGAAGACGCCGGCGACTCAGACCTCGCACGGCTATCACTATGATCAACGGAATCAAAACTCCGCGGCGACCACGGCAACCTCTGCTCAAGCGCATCCTTATCCTCCGACCCACGCTGCCTACGCGCACCAGCACGCCCATAACCACCCGGGTCGCGCGAACAATACCGATGCTCACACCCATCAGTCAACAACTCCGTAAGCAGGACATTTAACTGCGCCAAGCGCTTGACCTGTCTAGCCGGGATCGCATCCTCGGGATACTGTTTCCTCTTACGGGCTCCGCGCGCGCCGATTCCGATTCCCATCCCCATTCCCATTTCGGATTCCTGTTCCCGTTCGCGTTCTCGTTCGCGTTCGCGCTCACGCTCACGCTCACGCTCTCGACTCTCCCGCAGCCCGCGCGACTCAAACCGCGGCGACTGCCCGGCTTCCATTTTCAGCGCTTCTTCCTCGTCGTAGGCGATCGCGGGCTTGAAGCCGATGCCGTGGTCGGTCAGTACTTGGTTGAGGTAGTTCACGCGGCTTTCGAGGAAGGCTACGTAGCTGCGTGGCACTTCTTGTTTTGTGAGGGGGTCATAGCCCACGCAGCGCACTTGGGCTTTTTCGCAGGATTCGCAGCGCGGGAGGCGCTGGTCGCAGCGGTGTTTGCGGATGCGACATCTGTTGCAGGCGGAGACGCTGCGGAAGGGGGGCGCTGGGGGGTCGGTGGGTTCGTTTGCGGTGGGTTTTGGGGTTGGGTTTTGGTTTTGGTCTGATGTGAGCGGTGGGGAGGTTGGAGGGTTTCTGCGATTTGTTTTCACTGTTTTGGAGTTGGGGTGTGGAGTGGTTCGTTTGGTTTCTAGGGAGGAGGTAGTGGAGGTTGGGGATGGGAGTTTCAGCATTGTGTATAGTTTATAAGGAATTGAGATTCCAGGAGTATGAAATGAGGATTTTAAGAGCTACATGGTAAAATCCTTTCAGCAAGATTAGTATACTCCTTACTCCGAAGCTATGTACTCCAAATAGGGCTAATATTTCTGATAGAGTTCGGATTCCGGTTAACACACCGGAGCTCAGTTCTCCCCGGGTACTCCATAACGGAGGTCATAACTCCGAGTGGGGGTTTCTTTGTTTAAAAGAGGGATATATAAAGAGGTCACTAAAGAGGTGGCTATGTAGAGCCTTTATATATCTGCACATAGCTCCTTTACCCCTATATTCTACTTCCCAAACCTCGATATCGAGCAAATCGACCCGACTCGGCCGAATGCCACGTTACTGGAATGTGGAGCAGCCGATATCAACCCCCACGCTGAACGTCAAAACTTCCCCATTCGGAATTCGGGTGAGAGAGGTCGGGTATCGTCTCGGCTTAAGACGGAAAGCAACGCCATTGGGTGCATGGACCACTGCTTGTCCCCGCATTCCTTATATCTTGGAGAGCGAAGTACGGAAGAGTATAACCGATCTCGCATATCTCGGTTATACATGGTAAGCCTTTTGGCGTTCTTCCATATAGGATTGTATATCCGAATGGAAGAATGATAACTGAATTCTATATGGAACAGGTATAGATATCTTCACAGTTATGGCAACATTGAACAGACATCGTTCTAGCCCTAGATATTCTCATCTCACCCATTTAAAGGTTGAATATAAGCTTCTGTACATACTCTCAAGGAAGCTTTCTCCTTGTCGATCTTCCACCCTCTTCATGTCAATCTTCCGTGTCAATCCTCCAATCTAGTCGAGTATAATCAGCTAGCTTCGCCCTATTCCGACATAGTTCACCTTCCTCAAGATCCACACATCTATGCTCATACTCAAATCACCCGAAGTGTCCAGGATCGGTCGATAGTGCACCTGTAAGTGTAAGAACTCCCTCCGTTCACTGTCCCGACTTCCCCCCGCAATACCCGAACACTCGCACGATGTCAGACCCTCGGTCCCTGTTTCAAGACAAGCCGTTTACCATTCTGCTAGCGTAGCCGAAGCACATCCTCCGGTTTAGGACCCTCGGCTATAACAAGCCCCTAGGGGCGATATCGTCCCGAGAGTTTGACCGGCCCAAACTGACAGTGGCCCGCGGGGGAAATGACTTGTACACCGGCACGATTGCCGATTAACCCCGCGAGCGAGTCTGGTCATGAGCCCCGTTCAACAATTCCCGTACGTTGTGACCCTCCTTCAAAGTGCTTTTCAGACCTCGATCACTCTACTCGTGCGTTATCGGTCTCTGCTTCGCGACGGAATATGTAACCCATCATATATATCCCTCAATCATAACGCTGATCCGGTAATTCAGGGCGAAGTGGTTTTCCGGCAGTATCCTGAGGCAACTCCTGACAAAACTCAGTCGGGTCGGTACCATGTATCTCTCTTACATGCATATGTGGTTGTCGTTGTTGCATTTCCGTCCCACGAAGAACGGCCATGCTAGCCGCAGCCTGCCGTGTTGCTCTTAACCGTCTAGCTCTCAACTAAACAAGTGTAGCCATTGCAACTAGTATAGGAACGCCTATCCCAACGCCGAGTCCGAGTGCAAGCTTTGCTGTCGTTGTGAGTGCTGGCGGTTGATCGGTCGGGCTGACGGTAGTATCAGAGGAAGGGAACGAAGATGCCAAAGTTGAATTGACTGGAATCGAAGGCGTGGTCTTTGCCGTCGATGATCTTTCGGTTATGTTGAAATAGGCAGAGGGGAAACCGCCTGGCCCAGGGTTGATCCAGAAGAAGAATGTGGGTGAATAATCCAGATCGAAGCCGTAGAGTTGGACAGTCCAGGTGAAGTTCGATACATGGTCCTTTTCGTGGACTTGGGCTGGCTCTTGTTAGTCTGGGATCTTGGCTTCGGTTCTTCCTTGGGCATACCGTATACGTTGCCTCGAGTGTAGGCGCCTCCTCCTAATAGACTCTGCTGCCATATAGATACGTTGAACACTGGTAGGTCTGTTTTCCATGCAACCACTTTCTGGTCACCGAGTGTCCAAACTGGACTTTTTCCGTTGATGTAGACAGGGTTGATCATATAATTGGTCTTTTCGGCTTTGACGGTTGCGAGGAGGGCAGAGAGAAGGATTAAGAGGGGCTGGAACAAGCGTATCATACTTTTGATCTTCAATAGTGGTATGGCAGAGCTTAAATGTTAGAACTTCACGTAGTCCACGGGTGAAAATATAAGAAAGGTGGTCTCTGACGAGTGGACTTAAGTAGGTATTAGGGGCTGACAATCCTGGTTAGGGGTGTAACCAGGTACAAGGCTCTGAGGTAGTCTGTATTGCAATGCAATAGCGAAAAAGAGATTATGAAGGCCTGGGATTATGATTCCAGCTAGCAATTTTGAGTGAGAAACCTGAGGGATAAGATAGAAGTGTTGATACATATATTTGCCTCACTCTAAACGATAATCAGACAATTGTTAAAGGTATATGATTCTCTCTGAGGTATTCATGTTTCACTTCGTAGTCTCCGCAGATCCAGATACTTGGCAGCATAATCATTAGCCAATACCGGGTCGCCCGTAAGGTGCATAACAGTAGCCTTCTTGGCCATCATCTCCGTCTGGCCCTTGATGTCCTCGATTTCCTCGAAATGATCATACGCCGAGTCAATGTACCCAAGAGCACGGTTGATGTACTCCTTTCTCGCAGACGTCGAGTCCCGACCTTGCAAGCTCCACAACTCACCCGCCATGCCCATATTTGCATCCACGAGAAGTGAATACGCCTGCGCAATGAGACTGAAATTTTCCGACTCCAGGACCTGGGGCATAATGCTCTCGACTAGTTCGCCCGTGGCTTCAAATTCACGAAGACTCAGCAACACTGTCGCTAGTGTGCAGATGGATTCCCAGAGGTCAGCGAGGACTTTTGAGCGATGTGCGATGTTGGCTGCGCGCATCGCGAGGGAGAAGCCGCGTTGCGGTTGGCCGGATTTGCCGAGGATTTGTGCTTTTAGGCAGAGGAGCTTGACTTGGGAGTGGACGTCGAAGTTCTCTGGTTGCATGGAGTGCGCGGCTTGCTCGACCATTCTCAGCGCGCGACCATAGTCGCCTTGGCGCATGGTGAAGTCTATTGAATAAAATGCTAGAAGTAGGCGCATGTCGAAGTCACGGAGTTGCACTGCCTGGAGTTGGGATATAATGTGTTCGACGGCCACCTTGTCGTTGCTGTAGGCTGTTAGGAATAGATCTGTAAGAAGTCATACGGTTGTACTTACCGACAGATTTGTCGTCGCAATTGCAGTAGCCCTGAAAAGAAAGTCCAGGCGTTGTTGTATCTGAAAGCTCGGAGCTTCTCTGGGTCGATTTTGTTCATCCGTGTGAATGCCTCCTTGTAATTGCCTTTCTGTGCCAACTGTAGGTGATGAATCAGCATTTCTGTCATACACATTCAGAAAAAAGTTGACATACTATTTGGCAATTTCGGAATGTGATCTTGACAAAGTCATCATGAGGTTGGCCCTCCGAATAGCACTCGCGGAATATCTCGGTGTTCAGCCAAGCAAGGTGTGTAGCTCCTGTCGGCTGATTAGCGTCATCACAATTACTATACACTTAGTATCATACCTATTCTAGCGTACATGGCGCCTTGTAACAGCATGTATGCACCCGTGGGAGTTGAACCGCCCTTTGTCACATTGACGTGGGATGCTCGCACGAAGGTTTCGACAATTGATGCAAGGCTCTCTCCCTGCTCATCATTAGCATCAACTTAGTCAAAGGAAACAGCGATACTTACTTGCTGCATCTCCAACTTAGCCTCGCTAAGTAATGTTGTGCTCATGAGAGACCACATGTCAGTCTCCTTGGACTTGGCCTTGAGGAAATCAAGGCCCTCTTTCTCATTACCCAGCATGCCACTGTTCTGAACTTCCCGCATCTGCTCGGGAAAAGCCTTGCCAAAGTGATACATCCAGCTCATGCAGAAGTTCAGGCAGTTCATATCATGAGACTCGCGAGCAATCGCTACGGCCTCTTGCACGGCTGATATAGCTTCACTGAAACACTCAAAGTCCGCTTGCATGATAGCCAGGTTCAGAAGGGCAAATTGATAGGCACTGCGGTCGAGATTTGCGTGCATGGTGTAGTCAAAGTAGCGGTGGAGATTGTCAAAGGCCGAGGTATAGTCTCCAGCCCTCCAGGCGTCAAGATATCTGTCATTTGTCAATCACAATGTACCTCGATAATGATGTATGCAAGAACGTACTCCAGGTAATACATCATTACAGGGACTGAAGACTCTGAGGTCATGATGCGTTTCAGCTGAGCCCTCATTTCATCCGGAACTCTACCTCCCATTCCTGTGTCTGTCAGCACATGGTCATGACAGCCGGAGAGAATTGCATACTTTGCAGTTCCCCGACTTGGAATTCGATCAGTCGCTCTGCATCCTTGACGCTGACTTCTTCCTCTCCATCCTCATGATCTTCGATGTCACCATATACCACCTGTGAAAGGTAGCTGGTTGAATCCAGCCCCAGGTCGCGTAGATTAACATCAACCGCGATTTGATCAGCCTCGGGATGTCTGCGACTCCAGTAGCCGTATGTGGGTAGACGGTATTTGACAAATCCGGCCCAGAGCTTCACAGAATCATGGAACTGTAGCCGCGTGTATTCAAGATAAGCTCTGCGTACGAACGCACCAAGTGGCGAGCTCCTAGACAAGCGCATGCGATCATCTTCCACTGGTGGAATTCCATTATCCCTGTCATGGATCAATTCGTCGCGTGATTTAGCCAGGAGCGACGGGATGACCTCGCCGAAGAAGGTTTCCAGCGCATCCAGCGAGTCGATGGACCAGAGGTTCTTCAGAAACAAGTCCCAGAGTGTACGCCCAGGAACAGAGGACTCATGGCGAGACAGGCATTCTTCAAGCTCTGAAATTGTCGGCAGGTAATGCTCCTCCCATTGCTTATCGGCGGCATCTAGTGGGAACAGACCCGCCGTGAGGAACGAGAGGACGTCAATAGCAGAAGAATTGGGCACGACGCCTTCAGTGTAGAGGGTGACCAGACACAGCAAAGAGACTCTCCAGGGAGTCAAATAACGCGTCATTTTGCCTTTGCTATGGCTGCCACATCTTGCTGTGTTCTATCACGGTATTGTTCCAAGGGCGCGCGTGTTGGATAATTGATCGACACCTGAGGCTGCAAGGCCGCAATGCGGGACAGTACTTGGGAAAAAAAAGATGACGCATAATTACTTTCCAACTCACCAATTGAACGATTTCACAATGGCTCAAGCTCTGACAACCATAGATCTGCAGGGTGCCTTGCCTCTTGTCGCCAGTGGCAAGGTCCGCGACCTCTATGAAATTGACGATAAGACCCTCCTCTTCGTCGCAAGCGATCGCATTTCCGCCTACGATGTGATCATGGAGAATGTATACAACACCACAATTGCGTACCAGACTGCTTGCTGATACCGTCTACAAAATAGGGTATCCCTAACAAGGGTGTTCTCCTCACCCTCTGTACGCAAACGTGGTTCAAGGCCCTGAAAGAGGCAAACCCCTCCCTCCGCACCCACTTCATCACCCTCGACCTCCCACCTCAGATCCCGGAATCCCTCCGCCCTGTTCTACAGAACCGGAGTATGCAAGTGCGCAAGCTACGCATTCTCCCCATTGAGGCAATCGTCCGCGGATACATCACCGGCTCGGCATGGAATGAATACAAGAAGTCCGGGACCGTACATGGAATCCAGGTCCCCGCCGGTCTGCAGGAGAGCCAGGCTTTCCCCGACGGTCCCATCTACACCCCCAGCACGAAGGCAGAGCAGGGCGAGCATGATGAGAATATTCATCCAGATCAGGGTATGTTCATTTCGAATCTGTTGGTTTGAGATATCTATACTAGATATAGTACACAACGAGAAGACCTCACCTAACATCCCTCACAGCTGTCGCCATTCTGGGCGAACCCTACGCCTCGACTGTTGCCAAGATGGCTGTCGAGCTCTACAAGACAGCCCACGAGTACGCCCTCGCGCGCGGTGTGATCATCGCCGATACCAAGTTTGAGTTTGGAGTCGACGAGGAAACTGGTGAGGTCGTGCTGGCTGATGAAGTCCTGACGCCCGACTCCTCTCGCTTCTGGCCTAAGGAATCTTACGCTGTCGGTCGCGGCCAGGCTAGCTTCGACAAGCAGTTCCTGCGTGACTGGTTGGTCAGTGAGGGTCTTAAGGGTAAGGAGGGTGTGCGCATACCTGATGATATTGCGCTTAAGACGGCGGAGAAGTACCATGAGGCTTGGGAGAAGCTCACGGGTGGTAAAGTCTAAGTATATGATCAAGGCGGTTATGGAGGGGTATATATGATTTTAGTGTAGATTTTGTATTTGTTTATGATTGATTCGAGACGAGAATGAAATTCAAGTGTCATGTCCAAATTGTGGCCCTGAGGGTGTAGTGGGAATTATTATACACATAGTTTTATCCTGTCCTATATTTACTCCTCCCATTCAGACTTCAACCCCTTGAGACCCTTCTTATTCGAATCCCCATCCTGCTTTTTGATCTCTTCCTTGATGGACTTCACCTTGGACTTCGCCTCGGGTTGATTAGTCCAACCAGAGCTAACACCCTCATCAAGAGGCAGCGCATAATCACCACAAATACGTCGCTCCTCTTCAATCTCCGCCTCACTGATGCCATTCGTGGCCCAAATCTTATGAATGCGTAGATCAAAGGGACCCTCAACACGGTCCGTAAGACCAATACCAATACTCTTAACACGCTGCCGAGTCAAAGAAGTCTGGGGCTCAATGACAAAGCCGTGATTCGTACGCACAAACGAGTTGAAAGGCAAGAGAACGGTTTCCCATCCATTTGAGCCAGAGGTCGTTGTACTGGTAGAGGTAGAAATGATCGTCGATTCAGGTGGGACGTCTGAAAGCGCAGCGGGCAAGCCGCTAGGGTATAGCTCCTCGACATCATCGGGTGAGTCTGCTTGGAAGTCATAGTCCTCCTCCGATTTTGGTGTGTCGCGTAGGAGGTGGTGTCGCGTGTATAGTCTGTGCTGGTGAATATCCGTCTCGACGACCGCGTCTGTCTGCACGTTGACGGTGTATCGGCGGCCGTCGGACTTGATGCGCAGAGCAAGGTATGCATAGGGATCAACGTCCCAGTAAAGTCGGCCGAAGAGCCAGAAGCCTCGATCTTGGTTGCGGAACGCGGCATAGCCTGGTTGCGGGTATTAGTTAATTTTAATCTTTAATCTTCATTTTCGTGCTCTAGATCCTTGTCTGTGTCGCTAATTAGGCAGCTGGTAGATAACATACCGGTTCTTTCGACGCGCCAGTTGTCAGGAAGCTTGGTTGAGATGCTACCGTGGAAGCGGGCATGCGCGGGAGTATTTGTAGAAGGTTCAGCGGGTTCGTAATCTAGACTGGCTGTGCTAAAGCCTCCTACTGCGCGGTCGGCCATGGTCTTGCATCCTGTAACAGTGCCCTCGTTTTCGAAATCCAGGAGGACATAAGGTTTAGTCGGGGTGTGGAGGGCTTCTGTGTTCCAAGCTGCGACAGATTAGTTGAGCTGCAAGAATGACGACATACAACTTACCGATCTTTGACAGACGGCCGAATTCATCGGCGCTGCGCCTGAAGAATCCGGCTTGGGCTAAACGTCGAGTTGGAAACATATTGGAGTAATTGTGAGGATAGGAAGAAGCTCTGACGTGCCTGGAGTTGCTTAATTAGCTGTCGGCTTCCGAGGTGGCGTGAACGGCCGATAAGATAAGCGTTTGGCTTGTTTGTCTTTGCCCTCAACTTCTTTTATACTTCAGTTTCATTGTTCCTAAAGACACATGGGACCTTGCTAACTCTACATTCTCTCGATCATATACACGTCATTATGTTGCAACTTTACTTTCCAGGGATTCGGAATTTGGGATTCAAGAGTCACGCTAGGTGCACAAGACATCTTGAAGACTTCATCATCTTTTGTCTCTGTTGAGCTTTGTACTCTTGTTATTGAATGCGATGTATCTGTCGATATCTGACGACATTCTGATCATTTCGCATACTTCGCTAGGCACATACCTGAATCGGTTATGATGCGTATTCCTCTTTTGGGAAGGACATCCAAAGTTCATGACCAACTCTATCTGAAGAGTCATGGATCATATGCGCGATAAACCTCTTCATGAGGGCCCAGCTCTGTCTTTCTCCTGGGCGTCCGGCTTTGAACCAGTGGTTGGACTGACTAGCCCTGGTAATGCCTGATTCTGAGTCAAGGTCGCTGCATAGGTACCACCTAGGCAGTCCTGCGAGGGCTCCCCCGGAAATATACCGTGGTTAGCTCATATCTACTTTCCTGTGCTGGGGTAGCCTAGTTCTGGAAATCGGATATTTCGATATTTATCCCAAAATGGCGACGGAGATGGTGTTAATAGAGGATATCCCACGTAGTTATCTCGATATCTCTCTTCTCTATACATTCATACCACGCTCGTTTACCGCAGTTGAACCATTCGTCTATTGCAGTACAAACATCCATTTACTCTCGTTGATTATATACCGCCGCAATGGCTATGCATTACGTTGAACAGAATATTTCTGCGCCTGTCTCTTGGTATAGTGCCCCGGAGCCTACTATCATATGGCAAGATCCCCATGATACAGGTTCGGAATCTAGTGCCTTTGAATCTGGTAGCTCGAAACCTAGTACCCCAGAGCAACCTGATGCCAGGTCAGTCGAGCCATTTAGGCCAGTTGAGACAGTCCAACCAGTTGAGCTAGTCACCCCAAAAGAAACCAAGCCAGGAGACAAAAAGAAGCCCGGAGAGGGAAACAATCCGGTATACATGCCGCGTGAAGACCGACTGAATCAAACACCGACCAAGGGAAATGCACAGGGCCTCTTTCTTCCTGCTTGTTGTGTCTTTGTGGGAAAGTAGGTATTTCTCGATTCAATCTGACACTGTATACTGACTTTGAATAGCCTCTCCATCAAGGTTTCTCCTGAAAAGTTGGAAGAAGACCTTACAGAAATGATCTCTACATTTGGCCGGTGTCATGTTAAAATCAAACTATCCCAGGGCGTGAAGAAACTGCCTGTTGGATTTGTACAGTTTGAAGTGAGTACAACTGTTTGATACATGAGATATATATCTCATATGGTATACTGACATACTAAATAGGACACCAAAGCAGCAAATGCTGCATTAAAACAAAATGGAAACCTGATGCTTCATAATCGGGTGTTGAGATTGGAATCATCCAAAGCAAGACGTGAGTGTTCTTTTTATTTTATTGGACTTCATCTGCTCAACACCTTTTGCATCCTGCACCCTGCACCTTGCACCTTTCCACCTTCGCACTTTCTCACTTTCTCACCTTCTATCTTCACACCTTCTGAACTTTTTGTTCTCCTTAGGAACTGCCAACTTCGGTCGTCTCTCTGATGCTCCCGTCGAAAAAGCTGACGTCGTTGCTGCCCTGAGGGGACGTGGTAGCCTCGAGAGCATAGCTATTGAGCACTTCGTCAACCAAGACGGAGAAGACTCTACCTTTGGTGTTGTGACTTTCGCATACCCCGACGATTACGCAGATGCCCTCCAGGTAAGTCGACTGTCCAAGTTTGCTTTGACTCCACTAACCACTTGACCATTATAGCATTTCCAAAACAATCCTGATTACTATATGACCAGATCCACCATGGATCCCAACGACCAGCTTCCTCAGGATTACCCTGCAGGACACAGGTCATCTAACCAGCCTCCCGCAAACCGTGGCAACCAGCAGCGATACAACAACACTGGCCGCAGACCCTTCCACCGTCCATGGTATAGCGGCGGCAACAATAACAACAATAGAGGCGGATTCCGAAATGCTCCTGGTCCTGCCCCCAGACAGCAAAACACATCCTTTGCAAATCATGGTCACAGTCAAAGCTTCAATGGCCAGGGTCATTCGTCTCACGGCTCTTTCTCTCAGAACTACTCTGGCAATGGTTTCCCTCAGAACAACTTCAACCAAGGCTATCCCAGCCCCAACCCCAACTACAATCAAAACTTCCCTGGCAACAACTTCCACCCAAACTATCAGGGCAACTTCCCGAACTACCCCAATCAAAACTTCGTGGCTGCGGGTCCCTTTCCCAATGCGCCAGTTCTGTTCAACCAAATGCAAATGCCTGAAGGCCCACCCCCGCCATATCATGCCGAGTACACTGCTATGCAAAACCCAGGTTTTCCCGTGTTCTTGGGCAATCAATCATACCAGCCTCCCAATACTCTTGCACCAATGATGACTCCGGTTCAGGCTGTTGCTGGTCCTGTTCCTGGCGCTGTTCCTGGCGCTGTTCCTGGAGCTGTTCCTCGTCGCCGGCGATTGCCCCCTCGTCCAGACTGTCCCTTGATTGTCTCCAGCCAGCCTCAATTTGACACCGAACAGCACCTGCAACTCTACTATGAGCCCTATCCCGGTAACGAACCCGTCGTGAATATGCAGCCAGGCTGGACCGGTCACACTTGTTTCGTGCAGCCTGACTACAACCAGCCTTGCCCGCCCGACGCATATCCTCACAGTCGCCAATCTAGCATGGAAAGTCAGCATAACACCTGTTCGCCGCCCAGGGTCAATGAATCCGAGTCAATCTTGACCCAGACTAAATTTCACACCCCTGAGGTCGAGAGAGGTCGCCCACTAGTTCGGCCGCGCCATCCCAACACCGATGGAGGCTTTGACACGGCTCCAGTGTCTGCTCCTGCTAAGGCTCAGAGAGACTCATCCTCTGTTAAACCCCTGGATGGGTCCTCAGGAAGAGCCAGCAAGTCCACTGATGCTCAGGTTGAGCCCGCTCTACCTATGAGAAAGCCTATCAAGTCCGAGAACAAAGCCACCGAACCTGAGACCAAGCTCAACCCGCCTCAGCCTGAATCCACCTGTGGTCCGAGTCATGATGAAAAGAAAAAAGAATTGATGGATGAAATCAAGCCACCGTTGAGCATTGATACCAATGAAGAAAGCGCAGGGTCCTCCTCCGAGGCCGGCCCTAAGACACCAGACACGGAGCAGTCTCGGGAAAGCGCTAAACTTCAGACTCCAGCCAAAGCTGGCTCGGTGAAATCTGCCGGTAGTAAGACCCCTGATAGCGCTGAAACCCTCAAGCCAGCCGACAAGGGCACTTCGGACAAAGGCAAATCTCCGGAAGTGGCCACATCCACTCCAACCAAGAGTGGCAGCAAAAGACTTGAGCCCGCAGTGCCAGACAGCAAACATCTACTGGCTCGCCATGCTTTCCAGCATCGCAAACCCCTCAAGAAAAAGTACCAACCCAAGACCGACACCGGCAAAACAGTTGAGCAGTACACCCGTGAGATAAATGCGCAGCGTGCCTCGGTTGACCCAGACTCGCGTGTCCCTGAACATATTCTGCAAGAGGTGATCCAAGAGCTAGAGAATGAGCGCAGAGAAAATATTCGGAAGAGTCTCGGTCTCGGACCCAGTGCTAAAAGTAGCATGGACAGTGGTACTTCGAAGAAGAAGTAGGTGATATTGCAGTGATGGAAATTATCCAATTCGATTTTCTTACTATGATGGGGCGTTTTATTATTATCTCTTTCTTACTCTTTTGTCCATGCTGGCTATGGTTTGTTCTTTCTTTATTCAATCTGTGTGTCTGCGTTTCAAGGAAAAGAAAAAACTACAAAAAAAGGGGAGCATGGACATGCTCAAGTCAAGTATCAAGTATCAATTATCAAATTTCAAATTTTATTCTGCAACCTTGCTCATTCCTATAGTAATCTAATGTATCGTATTAGTTCTAGACAGGGGTGGTTCTGATTCTAGCCATCAGCCCTATGTGGCCGTGAGTATGAATATATAAGGTAAAAGAATGAAGTAGCTCATCGATGATAATATGATAATATCTGAGTTGATTGATATGACTGACATGGCCGAAATGGCCAATATAGCAACTTGATCCCCGCCAATGTAAACGCCGAGACCGAAAGAAAGCCGGTTTATATACACAAAATGCTTCTCGATGCCAGATTGCATGCCATAGATACCGAAACCGAATGCCAGTGGGGGATAATGATGCACGCCGAACAGTAAAAAAAAGAACAAAAAAGAAAACAAAAGAGCAACTTTCCTTATGGAAACGCTGATGGATAGATTAGATGTGGGTCGTGAGGATAGAGATGATATGTATGCTGTGATGGGGGTATGAGGTAGACAAGTAGAGAGGGGAGGGGAGGAGCGGAGAGGAGCGGAGAAGCGATCGGATATGAAGAAGATAACGCTGGGAGTAAAAGAGGAGAGATTAAGTATGTATAGGAGTGGGAATTAGTGCATCAAGCTCTCACCCGCCTCGCGTCGAAGAAGCCAAGATTGACGGCTGTGTCATTGACGCCCAGGAACGGCGCCGCATCCTCAAGTAGTTCCCAAGGACGGACAGGGTAGGGACCGGCAACACGACCGCGGCGTTGAAGACGAAGTCGACTGGCCATGCAGTTCGAGTCGGACTGTCCGGTAGGCAAGCCCGGTGCTGCTGCGACGGCTGTTGACCCCAGTCCTGCCGGAGAGGGAGCTGAGACTTGCTGGGAATTTGCAGGGTATTGTTCTGAAATTGGGCCTAGGAGGTAGAGGAAGCGAGAGTCGTTCTGAAATGGAGCGAAAAATGGACATTTCTCTTTCAGGAACCGTGCACACTGGTGGCGGACTTCGTCTGGGAAGATGTCGATTAGCGAGGCGGCCACGTCGAGGGCGTGGGTCTGTAGGAGGATTCCTGGACAGGGACGGAAGCCTTCGGCCGGAGTCGGATGCGGGAAGTAATCCGCTGCAGGGAACAGACGAAGGACGTCTCCAGGGAGGCTCGAGAGTGCGATGCAGAATATTGAGGTCAGAAGACGGAGCTGTTCGTGCAGAGGATTGATCTTGAGAGCTGGTGGCGGTTGGGCGAATGCGGACCGATGGAGGACGATCATCCTCAGCAAAGCAGAGAACCAGAATGCAAGAGCTCGCTCGAAATTTGCACGAGCCGTGTTGGCCACACCCACACCCCTGAGGGTACTGTTGTGCAGGGTGATGATCTTGTGGAGAAGGGCGTCCATCTTTTCCACGAGCACTGGAGCGACAGATGGAGCTCCAGAATCGGGGATGCTACTCGCAAGCTCTTCAATAATGGTAAGATACATTTTGGCAGTCTCCAACGATCCCAGCTTGTCCGGCAAATCAGGAATATCACCTAGTGGCTCTTCAAGCAGTGGGATGGAGAAGAACGCCTTCTCGGCACGTTCCCGGATTTGGCGTACGGCGTCCGGGCTCATCAGTGCAACCAGGTCAATCCAATGAAGTCTGTGAGCACGACAGTCTGATACGGCAGTCTTGAACATGGCATCAACAATATTGGTTCGGTCTTCAGACCCTGAGTCCGCATGAAATAGAACTTGGAGCTTCAACTGGCAAAATGGAAGCGAGAAGTCATCAGTCATACGGGCAAGCTTTTCAACCTTCGAGAGGACTGACTTGCCGTCGGACTGTGACTCGATGCCCAGTAAAAGGTCAAGCGCTTTCTGCACAACACCCAAAGCGGCTGGGTATTGGTCGATGAGCTTCTGCATGCTATTCTGTGCCGCACATTCGGGGTGTCGCACAAGAAGATCACGTAACAGCATGACCATAGAGTGCTCCAGCTCAGTGTGCCCGGTGAAAGAACCAACGGCATTGGATGATGCGGCGTCGCAAACAATCTTGAGCGCTTCCTCGGAGTCCTTATTGAGAAATTCCTGCTGTGCTAACTGGAACCGATAGGACACCAAATCAAAGGACTTGCTATCTTCACCAGAGACAAGAAGTTGCACAAGTTCAGCAGGCAGTTGGGCTGCATTAGGGACTATTGCTGGCTTAGAGAGTGCGAGTCTTTTTGCAAGGGCCAAGAAAGCTCTGATAGTAACGCATCCGACACCAATTAGCGGCGGGAGAATTCGCAGCAATACGGTACGTTCCGGAGATCGCAAATGACCACAGACCCAACGGGCGAGCATGCCATCAAAATGCTTTGGATGGAAAGACCTGAGCTGCGCGAGATAACGGCAGGCGTCATTTGCTGACAGGTTCGTATCGCCATTATCAGACTCCAAATGTTTTATGAGTGTAGTGAAAATGGTGTCCAGAGTGGGCTCATCCATAACATTTCCCGAATGCAAAAGCTGATCTAACTTCTCTCGGAAGAAGGAATCAACGCCATCAAAATCATCTGGAATGTGATCCGACACTGGAGAAGATGCGGCCACCATTGACCTGTTCTCCATCCGAGAGAGATCCTGGCGAAGAATGGATACAGTATTGAGTTCACTCGGGATGCGCAAACCAAGTTCAATCAGAGAGAATATCAGATCAAGACTTGGCATGCCAAACCTCTTCATTCCAGCGTAGGCATCAATGAGTCTCCGGAATAGATCAGTTGTGGCGCCAATTATGCAAAGAGAGTCGAAATGGCAGTTTGTGGTATCTGCAACCGAGGCGAGAACAGTGCTATCACCACAACTAGATGCAAACTTCAACACATCTGCTAACATTGAAATGTCGCCAAATGTTTCAAGAGCATCGCGGACAGTGTAAAACTCGGCGGGAGTCAGCGCAGACACCACAGAGGTATTGCCAATGGGAAACACTCCTCTGTTACTTTAGAGTTAGTAAGATAATTGACGAGATTAGGAGGAAAAAGCGAATGCTCACTCTGTGCTCCGGTTGTGTTCCGCAACTGCTCTCCGTAACCACTGGCCAACATCGGCTTTTACAGCCCAAGGCAAGTTTGTTGGTAATGATTCGAATTCCATTGACGTAGATTCCTGGACACCGAAAATTCCCGGTAGACGTTGGCTGATGATGTCTTTCACGCTTTCGATAGCTGCGTTCTCTCCTGAAGCAGAGAGCCCAGTACGATTCAGCAGAGTACTCCGCAAGTTCCCAACATGCTCCGGAAGACGAGCAACAGGGAGTTGCGCTATCAGTCCGATATCTATTGGTAAGTTCTTCGCCTGTAAATCTGTTAGTGACCGAAACAGTTTGATCTGTAAAATCGATCTTACCTTGGGATCCTCGGCTGAAGATGATCCATTGGTAACGCCTCGTGCCATGAGCCATTGAAGATAGCGGCCAACAGAGAATGTCTGTGACCTGACAAGTTCAGAGACGACATGGTAGATTTGATCCACGTTGAGCTTTTGATTATTCTGTCCGCTCGATAGAAAGGCCAGTATGTGACTGTCTACATCGACGCCGGCCAATTTCCATTTACGGAGCAGGCGAACACCAATGTAAACCCGACAGAGACCGTAGCGGAAGGGCGTAGAAAGCCATTCCAATAACTTGAAGACCAAGACAGCCTTGTCATCAAAAGCGTTGAGATAGTCAAATATAGAAGGGAGATCATGAGAGAAGCGTATGGAGTCGAGTAGTCGGACGATGTGTTGATGGGGTGAGCGCTGGGTTGTCTGTTTCGAGTGTCTGGGTCGTTGCACTCGCGCGTTGCGCTCCGCGAGGCTCTGGAAAAGAGCTTTTTCTGCTTCGTTACCCAAATCAAGGGCAGATAACACCTGTTGTTTATACGCATCCCAAGAATTTGGGAGTATCATCGAGGAAGTATGGTCAAGAACAAGCTTTTTGATAAAGCGAAATAGACGATCGATAAGAGGTTGAAGCTGAGTCAACTTAGCTTCAGTTGCCTATTGCTAAATGTCAGTATTGGCGGGCACCAAGTAGTTGCAAGTTGAACACACCTGTCGCACTTTGTGGAGCAGCAGCTCAGCTAATCGTCGTCCCCTTCGCCGATATCGCATGATATTTTTCCAATATATGCCGAGCATCAAAAGCCAGATTGGAATCGTGACGATAGAAGCAGCCTCAAACGAGGACAAGAACCATTCAAGGAAATGGTCATGGTCCAGTAAATTTTCGGAAAATAAACGAGCAGTCAACCCGACTCTAGAGATAAGGTTAGCATGCTCATAGTCGACGCAAATCCAAGGGCACGTACGCATATGTCATCTTCGCCTTCCAATCCGGAGACTTGGTGGCAGTACATACTCCTTCAACAAATTGCTGGACATTCGTCGTCCAGTCTCGGACCCATTTTGCCTCTAACCCAACAGCCAAAGCACCACTGGTGCCTTTTCGTTTGAAGGCACGAATTTCATTCGCACCCACACATTTTGCCAACCAAACAGCACGTGCAACTGGAATACATTTACCAAGGCACTGGTCCAGGAGGACCTTGCCACGGATACCATGGGGGATGGTTCGGCTCAACCTCCGCAGTGGAACAGATGGGTTGGCGAGATCTCGAAGCCATGCCTCACGCTTATTATCGGTGAGTGTGACTCGAGGCGGCGGTTTAAAAGTTGACGGGGCGTGAATAGTGTTGTGACTTTGTCGTTTCTCTAACGCTGCAGCGAAGACGGACGAAAGCATTTGTAACCCCGTGCGATTCTTGAGCTGCGCATATAAGGCAGGACGCGCTGTATTCGATTCATTCTGCGAGACTT